TTAGCCTCTAACCCTATCCAGTTCACTCTTTGAACTCTTTGAACATACAGAATGAAATCATTTATATAAGGGAATCTGATCAGAGAGGCATAGTGACTTAACGAAAGACCCACAGCAAGACTAGAACCCAGAGATACTTATATAGATCATTTTTGTTTATTAGCCTACATTGGTCTTCTCAGTGCTGGACTCACTGTACTTAAGCCTGTTTCCCCAAGTTGGGATATCTGTGGGAAGCTCCTCGAAGAGGTTGAAGAGAGAGACCCTGAGTGCAATGTCCTAGCCCCTGGGGCAAATCTTTGGTTTCATTTGGAACCACAAGCAGGCAATCCCTGGGCTGGGAACCCACTTTTCATTTTGTCTTCATGAGGTGATCTTGGGAGCTATGAACACTCTGCAGGGGTTGGCACTGGCTCAGACCATGCAGTCTGGGAGAGAGGGTGGCTAAATGGCATTGAAATGGCAGTTGTACTGGGGGAGGAGGTGGCTCTAGCTGAAATATGAACCCTTGGGATGGTGTCTCTGGATGGTGTCTACATTGTCCAGGGTGAGTCATAGGCTATTGTCAGGCCTCTTCCTGACCCTGCCCACTTGTGGGGCCTCCTTTAGCAAGGTATAGGGGTCAGTATTTAGGTCAAGGTTATGCTCTGGGGTATCTATCCTGGAGTAGAGATGGCCAAGTGTCTGTAAAGTTGGCAGTCATTGCCTGGCCCCTTTTCCTAGCGTGCAGGGGAGGGCTTTGGCTTTATGTATTTTTTCCCTTTCCTTTTATTTTCTTCCTACCCCACTACCAGAACCAGAATCTGACACATCTTCCCCCTTTCACACACTAGGGAGAAATAAGGTCAGATTTTGACTGCTTGGCTCTGCTGTACCCCAACCATCTGCATCACTAACTCCCATCTGGGTCCCAGCTGGGAACAGGGGCTGTATGGCCTAGAGAGTGAGCATAGCACCCCCCCTGCCCACCCCCATATTGCTACTCAGGGAAGGGGGAGGGGAGAGCAGCCAATTCACACAGACTGCCCTTCTGACTGGATTTCAATGAAAATGGGCTGCTGTGAGATTACCCAGGGGTCCCAGCCAGTGCCCTCTCGGTTGCTTCCTCACCTTGGCCAGAGGCAGGACAATGAAGGCCCCTCCACCTCCAGCCTCCACAATAATGGCCAGAAATTTGGGGTTGACCGCACAGAAGGCACTGTCCCATGTGACCTTGGATACCCGGATGTCCTCATAGGCCTGGTCGGCCTTTGCTGCCTGACCAAACACATGGCGGAACTTGCTTTGCCGAACCACTCGCCGGCTCATGGCTGGGCAAAGATAGGGGTATCAGAGCCTAGAGGCACGTTGGTCCTTAATCCGGTGAACTGTGGGAGGGAGGAACAAGTGAATAGAATTATCTGGTAAGGACCAGGGAACTTCCTTTAAAGTGACCAAAGTAGGAGGCAGATGGTTGTCACCTGTTAAACGTGTTTAATTTGAGGGGCTAGGATGAGGAATCCCTCTTCTTGGACACACAGGCTAGGGGGTTAATGGAGGCTGGAAAAGGGTCGACTGCTGCTGGTCGCAGATTAGCAAGTGTTTGTCCCTCCTAGAGACACCCTACTCAACGTACTCTCTTTTAGTCACTGGACCTTAGTTCCAGGTTAGTTGTGGCGCTAGGACTCCAGCCCTCAAGATGGCAAACTCTCATCTCTGGCACAGTTCAGGCACATGTGTCTTTTTCTACAAAGTTGCTGCTAAATTGCCAAGAGAAACATTTCTCCTCTTAGCCTGTTAGTAGCCTGTCTCAACTACTATTTTCATTCCGTGGTGGGGGTGTGTGTGGGAGTGGGCAGTATAAGGTGGCACTCACTCCCTTCCGTTCATTCCACCATGCACAGGCTTCTCCAAGAAGACCGACTATGATCATCTGACATGAATATCATACTTTAGTTCAGCTTCTTTGGGTGCATTGCCTGTGCCTGTGCTGGATCTTCTAGTAGGTTCTCCTGAGAGTGGGGGCCCTTGACCCCATCGGCAAGGACCAGATGTGCACCAGTGAGGAAGTAGGGTCATTTTCTGGAGCTAGGACCTCAGTTACACTACTTTTCCCAAGCAGACTCATCAGGCTCTCCCCAAAGGCCAACTGCTTCCTGCCCCTCCCCAGCCGGGGCATCCCTGTGCCCTTCAAACCGCTCCTGCGGCCCCAGGGCCTGAAGCCCGGCCTACCCGCACCCTCCTCTCTCCTCCTGCCCGGGCTGTGCGTTCTTGTGAGACTAGGTGTCTCTCCCGCTAGCCGCTGTCCGGCCAAATATAGACACCAAGTCCGCCCTGCCGGACCGAATTTAGCGGCGTGGAGGGGGGGGCGCAGACTCTGCCCCCTTCAGAGACCCCGCCCGCTCCGTTGGCTGCGGTGGCGGAGGCGGGGAGGGGGGTACCTGGTCCTAAGCCGGGCGGGGGTGCTCTCGCAGCGACTCTTCTGCGGAGTGTGTCGGGGTACGCCGGGGGCCGAGGGAGGCGTCGGTGCGTCCGGGGCCAGGCACTGGGTCGCGCGTTCCACCCGCTGCCTGCGGCTCTCAGCTGCCGGCTCTGCTGCAGTCCCAGCTGCTGCTGCCATCAACCTGAAGGGGCGGGGCCGGTCGGGGGGGCAGGGCCAGGCCAAGGCGGCCACGCCCTGTCCAGCGCGGGAAAGTCCTGCGTCTCAACTTCGCCTGCCCCGGTAAAATGGGAAAAGTGTGTGTGCGCTTGAGGGGCGTGCGTGTCCCGCGTCTCCCTCCGCTCCTCGTATGTAGGTTCAGGAGGCCCAGGCGCTCGGCCCAAAGCGGGACAACGAGACTGGGAGCCACCTCGAGTGATCAGGTGCCTGAGTGCCGCATTCTTGCCGCAATCGCACAGCTAATTTAGTCGTTCCCAGCGGGCGGGGTTGTGGGGCTTCACAGCCAGGACCCGCTGGGAAGAGGCCCCAGAAGATGCTCTGGGGGAATCGTCGCAGTTGCTTGATGAAGGTTTAGGCTGGCTCACAGCATCTGCGTGGCTATGGCTTTTATTGATAGCGATAGCGTTTGATCGTTTGAGAACTTAAAACACTGGCACTGGTATATAGGTGTTTCACCTTTTTAGAAGGTTCCATGGAGCACGGCATAAAGTAGGAAGCCCAGAGACTAGGCAGAGGAAAGTGGACTCACTCCCAGCACCACGTACAAGGGGGAAGAGCCTGGCAGATATTTGGTCACATTTTATAGGTCAGAGGAACCAACTCTGAAGATGAAGGCCTTTGTTTTGAGACAGTCCCTCTATTCTAGGGCAGCATTCCCTCACTCCCAAGACCAACAGGGCTGAAGTACTTACTGTTCAAGGTCAAGGAGATAAAATACTGCCAGGGAAGAGCAGCCAGTTCCTGGAGTTGCTGTTTACTCAATGCCTGCCCATGATTTCTTCCCTCCCATCTTAGGTCCCGGAGGACAGTATGGGTGGCACATAGAATCAGTCTTCCGTGTGGCAGGGGGAAGGAGGGAGGCAGAGAGAGACAGGGAAACCATGAGGATGCCTACAGGAGTCTTTGTTTTTCAGGAGGGGTCTAAGTATTCAGTGGCTTGTAGAGGAACAGAACCAGAAATAATCGGCTTCTCTCTCCTCTCCCTCTGTCCCTCCCTCCCTCTAAGTATAACCATGAAGATGGATGGAGTCTTTTACCTTTAGATTCCAGGTACTGGTTGGGCAGACAAGACTCAAGTGACTAGTTGCTCCTTTATGATAACAACTCATATTGTTCTAAGGGATCTACACTTATTAATATTGTGGTAATCCAAGTTTGGTTCCCAGAACCCACACAGCAGCTCACAACTGTGTATAACTCCACTTCTTGGGTGATCTGACACCCTTTTCTAGGGTCCACAGGTACCAGACACACATTTGGTGCACCAACATAGTGCAGTCAAATACCCACACATACAAGCTAAAAACAAGGCTAACGGATATTTTATCATCTCATTTTCTGAAAGAAACCTGACAACCGAGAGACATGATTTTTCATTTGCTTTGGCCACAAAGCCAAGACTGAACGTATTTCGGTTGGTCAGAAGCCCAGGCACTCCTGGAACATTTTGTGAGGTGACCACACCTTCCCTATGCACGCACTAGAGAACAGTGATGTGTTGCTCACCAGACGTGCCCGATTCAGAAAGAGGTAGGTGGAGTTTTCTCTGGAAACATCAACAGCAAATTTCCTTGGCAACTGGGCAATAGTTGAGCTTTCCTTAGATAGGTGGGCTCTTCTGGATGTGAATAATGCCGTTAAACATCTCATCATGCGTTTGTGGAAAGGCAGACGGGCGGGGGGACCTAGTCAGATACACCCATTAGCTCCTTCTCTTCTTGCACCATTGATGTGTATTGAGAAATTTTATTTTTAATCATGTGTATGTGGGGGGAGGTTGCAGGTAGGCATGGGTGTCTGTGGAGGAAAGTGGCATTAGATCCCTTCAGGCTGGAGTAAGAGGGAGTTGTGAGTACTGAAAATTGGAAGAACAATGTGCACTCTTAACCCTCCAACCATCTCTCCAGCCCAGTGTAGATTTCACTGTGCTGAACTCTTGTACTAATGTGACGTCATTCACCTGAAAAACCCAGTCACTGCTGGGCAGGTCACCACAGATGTCCCACACCAGTCACTCTGTACCACAGATGCTGGGAGGGTTTTCTTATTCATTCTAACATCCAGGTGACAGCTTTGGTGAGTCTCTGACTAGCCAAAGCCCTACTTTGGTCACTTGATTGGAGCCTCATTGTCTGCAATTTTTGGTAACCCCATTTCCCCATCGGTCTTTTGTGTAAGGTAAGTTTTATACATGCACATAAACAAATATGTGTGTTTATAGTCATTCCCCACTCTACAGAGTTCTTCAGTGTGTGCTGGTCTGGAACCTGTGAGTGCTATAGCTTGATGTCAGTGTTCTCTTCTAACCACCCCCCCACCCTACCCAGTACCCTCCCCTCCTTTGCTGCATTTGAAGCACACATTTTGTCTTCAAAATAAAAATTTATTCAATCTGTAACAAGAACATTGAATCTGCACATCTGCGCACAAGTTCACATTTAAAAACAGTGGAGCACATCAGTAATAATAAAAACAACTATTATACAAGTGGGACATCCCAACCACCAGGAAGATAAAGGAAGGAGATGAGACCACTCTATATTCTGCTTTAAATGCCTCAAAAAGGTCCCAGAGATTCCAGGGAGCACCTGCTTTTATTTAATAAAATGAGAGCATAGAAGTTTGGGGTAGTCTGGGCAAAGGTAACAGTCAGTGCAAGTCTTTTGGACTTGTTTGTGTTTTGAACAAGTCTTACAAAACAAAATTAAAAAAAAAGGGGGGGGGGAAGGCACCTTTAGCTATGCCAAACAAATCACATCAAATAAAACATAAAACCAAACAATTCCCAGTGGGCTTACTGACTAGGAAACATTAGGTTAGTTCCTTAGTTTTTCTTTTGGGGTATCAGCTCTCTGTAGGCAGGACACCGCCACCAGCATCACTGTGGAGACAGATGGCAGCATCAGCCATATACCTGGGGGGGGGGTTGTCTTCAAGCTGATGAGGGATGATTCCAGTTTAGAAACCCCATCCTAGATCTCTGGGACACTGAGATGAGGCTGGTTCTCTTCATAGCAGAAGCCAGGCCTAGATACCTCCGCTTCAGGCTGGAGCAGTACAGAAGAAGCACCTTTCAATAGATCTCCATGGCATCAAGAAATCCCAAAGCCTGGGGGAAAGGAGTGTGCAGCTTCCTGCTTTGGTGGCAGGCCTCTTCCTAATGTGGGTACCAGATAAGTTGGAGGCAACATATACACTTATGTCCAGTACATGCTTGATCTTTTAGTTTGGAAGGATAACAACGTCCATGATACTTTAAGTTGGATTGGTACTGAAACAATGAAAATGTCACCTTGTCTACCTACCATCAGAAATTGAAAATAAAACCACCATACTAGCCATTCACCATCACGATCATCACTAAGGAGACACACCAGCACTGAGGAAAAAGACTGCTGAACAGGAGTGCAGGACACAGATGGGGATCAGCCACATCTGACCTTTATCCACACGGGCTGACAATAGTATGGCATTTCTCTGGGGGAGGACTCACAGGACAGCCATGGCTTTAGTGCCTGAGTGGCCACCAAGATGATGCATATTTTAACACTCACAAAGTAAACAAAGTATCCACAAATAGTTTGAAAAAGCCAAAAAGTGGCTTTTCTTTAAAATGCCCTTAAAACTTTTTTGCATAATGCTTTCTTAGAAAAAAAAAAGTAGCCCAACTCTCACAGAACATCGTTACTAAATGAAATCCCTGGTGAAGGCTCTTGTGAGCTGCAGTATCTGAGGCTTTTCAGATGAGACATCTGGGCTCAGGAGCAGGAGGCCTTAGAACATCCCCTTAGATGTATTCTCAGGCTGTTCCTGGAGCTCTTGGTAGCTCCCGAAATGAGAAAGAAGGAAACAGCAGCAGAGACAAAGGTATAGAGCAGGAAAAACACTTAAAGAGGTGGGGATGCAGGGGCAAATGTGTTTAAAAGAACAAGAAGCAACCAAAAACGAGGTGTGAGTGCTCCCCACCGTCCTGTGCCCACACACCATCCACTGCTGCTGTTCCTAAAAGCCAACAGCTGGGCTGGGACCCTTTCCTGCTCCCCAGGTCCCACCCAGGCTACAGTTCCAATCCTGTTTGCTCCTGGGCCATTATCCCAGGCACAGGAATGTCAGGTCACCCTGTTTATGTGCTCACACACTCTTCCAGGACCACTGACAGGACTACAGTGGTCTTAGAAACATAAAGATAGAGCAACATTGAGCAGGAGGTCAAAGTTTTTCCTGCTTAGCTGTTCACCAGTCAGGTCTGGGTTTTCCACGAACAGAAAAGGCAAACAGGCAATCTGAAATTATCAAAGGTTGAAGTTAAAAACAAAAAAGTCCCTAACAGCTCCTTATGTACCTGCCTTAGCCATGAACATGACTAAGAATACCCACATGTGGGGGTTTGGGAGGGCTGGCAAGAGCCTTTGGCATATCGATCTGAATTACAGACCCTGTGTGAGACACCTAGGCAGGTGAGTTAAATGGTAATGTAATAAAGAAGGAAAATAGCACAAGATGGTTTCTCCCATTCTTTAAAACACAAACGGGTATCCTCCCTCACCCCCACAAAGCATCAGAGGGGTTTCTCTCAGTCTCTGCTGTGAGAAATGCATTGAGAGCATAGTGCCCATTGTTGATAATGTGTGGCATATAGATGTCACTTTTTGAGACAGGGTCTCACTCTGTCGCCTAAGCTTGTCTCCAACTCACAGTGATCCTCCTGCCTCAGTCACAGTGCTGGGATTACAGATGTGGGTCACTATACCCAACTTTTATTATTAATTTTTAGTGATGCCACTCAACCTCCATGTAAATACTCCTCACTCTACCATAATTTCCTGCCCTCCCATCATATTGATAGATAGGGCTCTTTAGCAGATGAGCTCTCGAATCCACCACCTTGCCTCCCAAGCCTCCCTCACACTGGTACACACGACCTAATGAGACAACACATAAGTATACAGGACTCACAAGCTGTGACACTTGAAGAAACTACCAAAAGACAGCACAGGTATATATAACTTCCACACCATACACTTGCAGCAATTGGCCTCTAACTTCCTCCCGGCAGTGACAGCATACTCAACCATGGCTTTACTATGGCAACTGGATCCACAGCTCTGGTGAACTGGAAAGTGGCTCCAATTTCCCTTTTCTGTATCTTACTACCTTCTCCTTCCAAATTCTGCCTCTGATGATGGTCTGTATGTCTGTCTTCTTGTTCTTAGGGCTGAGCTTGAATAAGAACTGAAGTTCCTGGCTCTTACCTACATGACCCTCAGTCATGGACACCGACAAAAGCAAGCAGGAAGCAAATTTGTAGGCCGTTTGGTTTTGGTGAGCTGTGGTGGATTATTTCATTTCAGGTTAGATGTTTTCTGTAAGACTCTCAGAGGCTTATTTACAGCAGGTCCTCCAGTGTTAAAGACCATCACAACAGCAAAAAAGCAATGGTATCCTAAATGCAATTTGTGCTCTTGGCTGAGCCGCTCCCAAGCCTCAGCCCCACTAGGAGGCTACTTTGGGCAATGCATACACATTACCTGGCTGTGCTTCAATTCTGGCAAACAATGTTCTGGGACTTCAGCATTCAGGGTGATCTAATGGGAGCCTGTAGGGGTTTCTGAAGAGGAAGTGCATAATTTGGCAGGAGCTGGCAATTAGAAGTTTCCACTGAAAACAATTAAAGTCACCATCAATATACTGTGTAGACTTCTATCAACAATGATCAGCTTATTTCTGGTGTCTCTGTTTTCCAGTGGCAACTCTACTCCTTGAAAAGAATAAACCAAAAAAAGACCCCAGAATATCAACAATGAAACATTACAGAAGTGACATTATGTACATAAATACTGTGTATGAATTGTAAAGAAAAGACAAACCTTCCAAGAAAATGAGGGAAAAAAAAACTTATGTCAAGTGTTAACAAGGATAACATAGAAAATTGTGTCCAATAGATTATATGTATGTAATGTAACAATTAAAATATAGTTTGTGAAAGTAAGAGAGGGGCAGGATACGGAAAACAGCAAGAGAGAAGAAAATGAATTGGAAAAGTATGGCCATTAAAGTCAGGAGGCCACAGAATATTCAAGTAACGGAAGGGTTAAAATCCCACATATGTATTCATTTTACAAGAACACACCGACTTTGCTGTTTTTCAAGCCTGTTTCCAGGTCTTAAGTTGGGAGGCTGTGACACAGCCTGTCACCTGGCAGAGGGGCCAGGCCCCACCTGTGGATCCCACTAACCCGGAAGTCACTCAGTAGCTGCTTTTCCACTTTTGCCTTCAACCTTTTCTCTTAAAATGTGTTTCTTTACAGATGTCCATGAGTTTTGCTTAGGGTTCCCTTAGATTTTCAGACTGTTTTCTAGGGGAAAATTATTTGCAATCTAGAATTCGATCTATCTATGTAGGCCAATCACCAATCCCTTTTTCGTAATGATTGATGTTTTTGGATGCCAGAAGAAATTGCCTCTCAGAGCAGAGCAGACCCTGCAACTTCATGGCCTCCAAAGAAGGGCTGGGGAGGGAGGCTGGGAGCAGCAACCTCCCGCTGCCCTGGGGGCAGGCCGCCTCAGGCCTGGCTGGCCATCTCCAATTTCTAACCTCAGTGCCACCTACCCTCTGTTTCTTTCCCTCAACCAAGCAGGCCTGTCTTTCTCATAGGGAAATCAATGAGAAGGAGGCAGGTGGCAGGAGATTGAAAAACAGCAATTTGCCTTTGATAAAGGTGCTCTTTGAAAAAAAAATTGAGGTTTGAATTTTTGAAAAATAAAAAGTGATAAAATGATCTTGCCATCCAAATCAGCACGCACGCACGCACGTACACCACACACGCATGTACACACGTACACACGTACACACACACACACACACACACACACACACACACACACACGGAAAAACCAACCCAAACCCCGCATGAGCTAGGAACAGTAAAATGACCAAAATATTATAAAATTAACCAATAAAGTGCATGTTCCTTACATATTACAGCGCCCCTTTACAAACATCTCTCTTAGAAAGTCATGTGTGCGGGCTCAGGGTCACATGGTGTTATAGAAGGGGTTGGTTGTCCGTTTTTTATCATTTGCTCTTTTCAGTCTCCTAAGTGGGTGAGTTCTGCCATGTTGCTGGCGGGGTGCCACGGCCAGCCCTGGAGTGGGACCTGTACACTGCAGGCCCGGTGTCTGTAGCAAAGGGAGGCTTACTTCAGAACTAGTCAATTCTGCTCTGGCCTTGGGGAGCAAACACTGCTGGCTGTACCCAAATTCTTTGGCATACTGCACAAGGGGCCTCTCTACTGGCTTGCTCTGCACAACACACTCTGTCGTTCTGAGTTGCTCTACAAAGTACTTGGTGGGCTGTGGGTTCTGGTGGGCATCTGGGCTTTCGGAGGGTTCCTGGGTCATCAAGGTATGCATGCCTGAGTCTGTTCTGATGAAGGGCTGAAGCAATTTAAGATGAGGGGATTCTGGGGAGAGAAGCTCTCTCTCCGCTAAGTAGTCTTTACAAAGGTCCAGATAACCCAACTTGGCAAGAGAAGCTGAGCGCCTCATTTGTGATGTTTTGGTGAGCCCTGCCTGGAAGGTCACGCGAGACTCAATTTCTTTAGCACGCTCCTTCACCACACCAGGGCTGTGGCTGAGATTTCTTATATTTTCACTACTAGAGCTATGTGGGATTCGACAAGCTTCAGATGATAGGTCCAGTTTATTCTGTAACACCCCACCGCTGTCACCAAGTTTGTTAATTAAACTTAGGTCTTCATTACTTAACTGAGAGACCCTGCACGCCACTGCACTGCCATGGGAAAGGAAGCCCTCCTGGCCATCTTCCCAGCTAGCCTGCTCTGTTGATGGCTCACTGTCCGTGGTGCTGCACTGCTCTGTGTAGCCTTCCAGGTGGACCACAGACAGGGGATGAGGGTAGTCCAAGCTGACAGATGCTATGTGGGCACTGCAACTGACCAAAGGTGCTGCTTTCTCAAAGGGTGTTGAAGGACTGTTTCCCTTGTCTTCAGGACTACTTAGCATGGGGGTCTGGTCAGTGAGCCTGTCATACTCAGAGGAAGAGTGAGGCAGAGGTAGCACTTGGGGATGCAGAGGAACTTGGCTGGGGTCCAGAGTCCTGTTCAGATTTTCATCCAGCGCACAAAACATAGTGACAGGCCTGTCCGTCTTCACCTTCCTCAGCCCTTGCTTTTCATCCTCTTTGATGGGTGCAGTTTCACCTCCTAGCTCAGTGTGATCAAGTGACGTAACTGTCTGTGTGTACTCAATGATTTCTATTCTCTTGGGAAGGGGAAGAGGGAAGGCCTGGGTCTCACATCCTGGGTTTGGAGTCACAGTCCTCTGCTTCTTCAAGTCTTCTTCCTGCTTCTTAGTTCCAGTATCTGGTCCTAGGCTGTCTTGAGGAGCTTGCAAGAGATGACTCTCCAGCAGCTCGGGGGTTGGAGCAGGGGTATGCTCACAGTGGGATAGTGGTCCAGCCTCGGACCCACTGCATTTCCCTTTCCCCTTGCTCATCTCTGAATGTTCTGGGGTGGTCTCGTCACTTCTCCATTTTGGCATTAGGTCTGCCACAGAAGAATCGTTCTTAGAGTTTTTGCGGTTAGACAATGTGGTACCTGTAGGGGCAGTGCCATGGTGTTCCTGCTCCTGTCGCAAGCGCTCTTCAAACTCCAGGGTGGCTCGCTTCACAGACCCAGGGCACCACTTGGCACCAGGGTGCATCCCTGGGCCCCAGTCATATTCTCCCTCAACCAGTTCCTCTTCTTCCAAATCTACTGTGGATGGGTGTGCAGTTAGACAGCCTTCTGGGTTGCACTTCCCTATGTCTTCAGCTACTTCAGGCTGGACTGCATAGAAACTCTCGTCCTGCTCCAATTGTCCAGGTTTGTTCTCAGGGGCCTGTGCTCTCTCCGGGGGCAGCTCATGGATGGTGTTCTTCTTTGGTGTATGGCATGGGTTAGAGAGGATGTCTCCTTTTAACTGTGCCTGCCCAACTCCTTGACTAATGGACTCAATTTCAGTGACAATTTCTTTGACTGAAATTACGTTTTCTGAGTGAGACTGCATGATGATGTCTGGGCTGACAAGTTCTGAGACTGCCTAAGAAGAGAAAATAGTGAGATGGTTATGGCAAATTGTGGCTAGTTTTCCACTTAGTAACCCTTTGACTGAAGAGAACTTGTCCATCTGTGAGAACATATGTTATGGATACCAGGTGCATAGGTTCACTGTGTTGTCAGATCATGGCAACAAAATAGGATTCAACATTAAGGCCAGAGGGAGAAAATTCACTGAAAGGTACATGTCACTGTTCACTAAATTTTATTCTGTTTACTCAAGCAACATTTTAATCCAGGACTTTGTTTGAAAATGTGCAAACAGCTATGAAGGCTTTTCTAATCCATATTTCACAGAAGCATGGGCCTCTAGGGCTTGGACCACAAAGTGGTAAATGAAACCTTTCCCAGCTGGCTTCTTAACTTCTAATGTGATAGGAACTGATTCAGGTGTGACCACAGTTCTTTCAAATGCTTGGTGGACACCTTAATATGCCCAGTATAAGACAGGGCAAGATGGCTGTCATCTGATGTCTGATTTGAAGGTTTACTGTGCTGCTTTTTCACATTAGCTTTTACCACACCACCCACATCATTGTTTCTCCTGGCTGGGAGAATTTGCTTTGTATCTGACCCCACACTCTCAATTTCTCTTTCTTTTAGGATCTTTTTTTTTTTTTTTTGAGACAGGTTTCTCTGTGTAGCCATGGCTGTCCAGGAACTTACTCTGTAGACCAGGCTGGCCTCAAACTCACAGATCTGCCTGCTCTACCTCCCTAGAACTGGGATTAAAGGCAGTAGTGCACCTCTTTTAAGATTTTACGTCTTGCTGGGCGTGGTGGTGCACACCTTTAAACCCAGCATTCAGGAGGCAGAGACAGGCAGATCTCTGAGTTTGAGGCCAGCCTGGTCTACAGAGCGAGCTTCAAGGTGACCTCCAAAGCTACACAGAGGGACTCTGTCTCAAAAAACAAAACAAAACAAAACAAAAAACCCAATTTGTTTTGTAAGTCTTATGTAGTATTTGAATATTTTGGCTGCATGTGTGTGCACCATATGCGTATCTAGTGTTTACAAAGGTCAGAAGAGGGCACCAGGTACCCTGGAAACAGAATTACAAACAGTTGTGAGCTGCCACATAGGTGCTAGGAATCAAACCCAGGTCTTCAACAAGTGCTCTAAACTGAGAAGTCATCTCTTTTTCCAGACAGAGCTCATTACATAGCCCTGCACTTAAAGATCTACCTGACTCTGCCTCTCTCGTATTGAGATTAAAAGCACATACCTGGCAACAATCCCTAAATTTCATGTAGCTCCTTCTGAGAAAAGTACTCTTGGCTTGTCAGCCATGGCTTGGACTCAGCTATGTCCCTCAGCAACCTTAGAACCCTTATTATCAGATATTTACTCTTTTACAAGGTAGAAATTCCCATAGATTTAGAACAAAGACCCCTAAACCTAGAAAACAGGTGCAGAGGTGATCTTGGCAGAACTGGTGAACCTGCTATGTGCACGGGCCATGGAAGGAACACTCATGTGACCAAGGGCTCAGTGGGAAGGCTTTTTCTGTCAGTGCTACTGTACTTGACCAGTCCTTAAACAGAGCTTAAACATTTCTACTTCCCACAACAAAGGCAGAAGACAGAAGTAGAGGCAAGAGTTGTTTCAGGTAGTTGAGAAGAAATAACAGATGAAGTAAGGTAGAAATCATGAGCTCTCAGGCATCTAACCAGGGCTGTTAGTACCAAGCTCAGCTGGTAAAACACTACCTTGGTACTTACAGGGCCCTGTGTTCAATCCCCAGGACTGCAAAATAAATCCACCACAAAAATATAATTAGGTCCATTAAGATTATTAGGGGAAGTTTTGTACATTAGAGTAAATCTAAGACCTTGTCTCAAAGCAAACAGATAAACAAAACAAAGCAACTTTTTTTGATCATCTAAGGTATTTCCTCCTACTTCTGAGATGATTCATAAGAAATCATATATTGCTAGGCATGGTGATGCATGCTTCTAATCCCAGCACTTGAGCAGCAGAAAGATCTCCGAGTTTGAAGCCAGCCTGGTTTACAGAGTGAGTTCCAGGACAGCCAAGACTACACAGAGAAACCCTAACTTGAAAAACAAAACAAATCAAAAGACACTTAAGAGTCTTAGTATAATGTCTGCTCCCAAATTCATCTTCCCTAACCACTCCTGATTCTTGAGCACCACAGGACTAGAAATAATTCACAAATGTTATTAACAGCATCACTGAACTCAGCGTGGGCACCTGCTGCTACTCCAGCAACTAACTATTCACACGTGTCTAGCTTGTAAATTTTCTGAGATAAAATGTTTCTCAAGTAAATCCATCTTCTTAGAGATAAGTCTTACTCAGGCAGTGATTTGACATTTCATCATTGCTGAGATTTGATCCGGGCCCCAGGGGTCCACACAAAGGACCTCCCTTTGGTTAGGACATTTGTTTTGGCTAATTCTCTCCTTTGTTATCCCTTTTCAGAAATACTCCAACAAGGTGTAGAGAGATGGCTCAGCAGTTATGGGCACTTGCTGCTTTTGGAGACAACCTGGGTTTGATTCCCAGGACCCACAGTGGCAATCAGCCATCTATAACTCCAATTCCAGGGGAGCTGAAGCCCTCTTCTGACTGCTGTGGGCACCAGGTATAAATGTGGCACACACATACACACATGGCAAAATATTTATGCACATAAAATAGGATAAATCTAAAATGACACCAAAGCCTGAAAAGGTCCCTACATTTTAAAGGAAGATCTCACCCTAACTGTTCTATTTACTAGTGAAATCTTTACTAACATCAAAGTGAGTTAAGGGGCTGAAGAAACCTCTCAGTGGTTAAGAGCATGTACTGGGGATGATAGCTCAGTTTCCAGCACCTATGGTGGTTAGCTCACAAACCCCTATACTCAAGCTCTGGAGGAATCCCATCACTCTGACCTCCTTGGGCACCTCCATTCATATGAATATGCAAACACACATACATATAATAATAATAATAAAAAAGCTAGGGCCACCTGTAAAGCATAGTGATATAGTATCCCCAATCCCCCCCCCACCCCTGCCCAAAGAAGTTAACACAGCAGATTCTTCAGTAGTTTCTTTGGTGAGAATTTCATTACATGAAACCACAAAGCAGTTTTACCTTTGACTGGTCCTCATCCACTGAAGATTCTTCAGATGCATGGGGAGTATTACTCAAAGAGCTGCTTCTCTGGTCATCAGCGGTCATTTCCGAAGGCGCCACTTCCATCACTGACAGGCGACAGCTCTCACTCCTTCCTCCGCCTAGTTCTTCTGTCCTTGAGTGGGAAAAGGATCGAGTCCGGGTTTCTTGAGAAAGCTCTACAAATTTCTCTAGGGCACTAAAAAAATCAATACGATCTGTACTAAAATCAGAGATGGTAGCTTGGCAGCTGGGTTGGGGGCTTGGTGACTCCAGATCAGGTGACATGGGAAGGTCTTTCAGTCGAGATGTCAACTCGTCCATTGGCAATAAGTGGACATTCATGTCTGCTTTCAGTGCATCTGTCTCCAGATCTTCCAGTGCTAAGTCTGGGAACTTGTTGGCCATTTCTGAGGCCTGTCCAGGTTGGATTGAAGCTTTAGACGCATGGCAGTTGTCAAGAGGGAATTTTGATTCACTGAGACAACACCCCGATGAGCATCCATTGATGTCATTTAAGTTTAATTCATCCTCAATCTGTCCAGCATGAAATTCCTGTGAAGAAAACCCCAGGCAGATGACTCTTTCTTTGGTATGAACCCCTTTCTGACTTGTGTCCTGTGGAACCACATGCTCCACAAAGACGGGAGGCATGGCTGCAAGGTTCTCCACAGTCTTCACCTCAGCAATCTGGTCTGCTGACGTGGTCATCTCCTTCTTGTTGAGCTCAAGCCCAGGTTTGCAGATGGGTTCGTGATGGTCCGAGAGGTCACTATCTGAATGAGATCTCCAGAGTTTGTTATGCCGCTGTTTGCTGTGGATGACACATATAGGAAACACCTTATTTTAGTTTGTGAAAACAGTCAACATCCTTCCAGGAAACCACATGCAGAGAAACCTCAATCACCTGCAAAATTACTTGCTACTGTTTGAAGGACCAAGACAATAAACACTTCAAAATATGCGCACCTTAATAGGAGCAAAATCCAAAGCAAACAATAAATTGCTGAGATACGATTTTTTGTTTTTGCTCTTTTGAGACAGGGTCTCACTCCATAGCACTGGCTGACCTGGAACTCACTATACAGATCATAAAGATCCTCCTGCTTCTGCCTTTATGTGTTGAGGTCTGATTTTTTTTTTTTTTAATTTTTAATCAGATTGATGCGAGCCAAAATTTGCTAACAGCCAATGTTGGTAAGTTCTTTCATGGAGTTGTTAAGAGTGTGAATTATAGACTTTACATTTTTTAAAATAACACCTACTGTTTGTGCCACACCATGCCATACAAGTGAAGGTCAAAGGACAACTTGGGATAGTTGATTCCTCCTTCCATCACCTGGGTCTTGGGGATCGAATTCAGGTTATCAGGCTTAGTAGCAAGCACTTTACCTGATGGGCCATCTTACTGGCTCTGCAGACTTTCTTTTATGAGTTAAGTATGACAATAGCTCTCCAGATTTCATCCTTAAGTAATCAGTTCTTCCTGTTAGACTTTCCTTGGAGAAATACTTTAAGGGTGTGTGTTTATACATATGGATATTTACTATAGCACTGTCTGTGGTTTTAAAAATGAGACACCAGAAAGAAAAGTATATTTATTTAAACTTAGGCCAGGGCTGGAGAAATGGCTCAGTTGGTAAAGTGCTTGCCATACAGGCTGAATTGGCAAGCTCCAGATTCAGGGAGAGACTATGTCTCAGCAGAGGGAAGAAGTAACTGAGGAAGACATCCTACATGAATTTTTGGCATCTGTATGTACATGTGTACACATACACAAGCATATGCAAAAATAAAAATACAAAAGTAAATTACAAGCTATATAATTATATGCTACAAGGTATAGGGTTGTTAAAACTGTCAAACATTGGGGGGCTGGAGAGATGGCTTAGTGGTTAAGAGGGCTCTCCATTCTGCCAGAGGACCCAAGTTCTGTCCCCAGCACCCACATCGGGGGTTTACAACTGTCTATTAACTCTAGCACCAGGGGAATCAGAAACATTTGACTTCTTTGGGTATCTGCACACATCTCTCTCTCTCTCACACACACACAAATAATAAAAGTGGGTCTGGAGAGATAGCTCAGTAGTTAAGAATACTGGATTCTCTTTCAGAGGATCTGGGTTTGATTGTCAGCACCTAACATGGTGACTCACAATTGTTTGTTAAGAGGATCTGATGTTCCCTTCTGGCATCCACAAGTACCTGGGAATCAAACTCAGATCTTCTGGAAGAGCAGTAATTACTCTTAATCATTGAGCCATCTCTTTAGCCTTCCAAATAAAATATTCAAAAACACCGTTTTTTTTTTTTTTTGGGCATTTTAGGGACTGATATCCAAGGTATACTATTAAGTGAAGAAGCAAGTTTAACATTTATGATGGTCAGTTTACATGTTAGAGTAAGAATGGGAGGGACATCATTTGGTAGGTGATTCCTTCAAGAAAGGTAGAAATCATTCTAGGGAAGTTATTATTTTCTGCTTCATTATTTGTCTAAATCTTGAATTAAAATGAGCCCGTTGTGCTTGACTGTTATTAGCTCTTATGGAGGACTGGGGTTCAGTTCCTAGGACCCACACGGTAATTCCCAGCCACCTGTAACTCCAGTTCCAGGGGATTTGATATCTTCTTCTGGACCCCAAAGTCACATGGGCACCAGACATACATACAGGCAAAACATCATACACAGAAAATAAGACAAATAAATCTACTCTCTTCAAGGTTCTGGGATCTATGTGGAAAAGGAAGCAGAAAGATTATAAGAGCCAGATGTGGTGGATGACTTCAAGGAAACATTCTAGGTACAACAGGGCTAATACACGTATGAACTCACAGAGGCTACGATAGTACACAAAGACCTGCACAAGTTCAAACCAGATATAACCTCAGCACAGAGAAGGGGATGCAAAGTCTTACCCCTAACCAAGAAGCTATCTGTTATTTTGTCTTCCCACTACCCCACTTCAGAACTCAAACCCAGGGCCTTGTGCTTGCTAGGCAAGTGCTCTACCACTGAGCTAAATTCCCAACTCTCCAAGAAGCTATTTGTAATTGATGTTTGCTGGGAAATAGAAAATCAGTTCTTTCCACTAGGGTGTCACTAGACATAGCCACTGAACTCTAGAGAAAGTCCAAACACAAAACGGATGTCACGATTTTTGGGGGTGCTTTTTGTTTTGTTATTTGTCTTCTGCTTTTGTTTGTTTTGACATATGCTTTATTTTATTTATTTATTTATTTTTTTGAGAGGAAAAGAAAGGTTGGTGCAAATGTGATCATGCAGGCTGGTGATTGTGACCATTCTTTTTTTAAGACTTATTTTTATTTGTGAGGATGCCCATGGAGGCCAGAAGAGGAGTTAGACCTCTAGGAGGTGTTGTCATAGAGGGTTGTGAGCTATCTAATATGGGTGCTGGACACCAAAGTTGGGTTGTTGATCTCTGCAGCCCCAAGGGGTCTTCTTTCTTTCCTTCTTCCCTCCCTTCCTTTTCTTCTCTCTCTCTCTCCTCTTTCTTTTTCTTTTAAGCGTGTGAGACAGGGTCATTCTGTGTGGCTTTGCCTGTCTTGGAACTTACTATGTTGTCCAGGCTGGCCTTGAACTCCCAGAGATTCACCTGCCTCTGTCTCCTGAGTGCTAGGATCAAAGGTGTGTGCCACCATGCCTGCCTAAACTGATTATTTTTAAGTTAGAAAATTAAGGTAGCCTAATAAATCTGGAGAGAACGATCCATTGCAGAATGAAGGGGATGTACTTGGAAAAACATGTGGGCCAAAGAGAGTTCTTTACCAACCTCAAAGACCACTATTTAGTCATCCTGCAGTTATTTTATGAAGTGAAGTCTGAGGTGGTGATGAAATTCATTTCAAATCTCATGCTTTCAAACTACAAGCACAATTCCCAAAGCCCAGCCAAAATTTCTCAGCTGGCTGTGTGGTTGGTCAGGATCACCTGCCCAGGGATTGGCCCTTTAATATGGTGCTTGACAGTCCCCATGATTTATAAGCAGACAGAGTTACCTAACTTCTGGGTGGAAAGGAAACTCAGCCTCAGACAACTTGCCCTGGGCATGTGGCCACACGTGGGTTTTGCTGAGTCATATGCCTACACTGATGTGACCCTATTTCTTCTCAACTCTGCACCTGCTCTCAGCTCTCTCTACAGTCTGCAGCTGGGGTGGGGCACTCTGACTCAGGCCCTCACAGCAGAGGGGTGCTTTCCCTTGCAGGAATAGCTCAAGTCTGTTTACTATGACAAACTATAATCATCAGTTTGTTGGGTATACAGTGGAGTTTTTACCCTTTTCAAGCTGCATGACCTCCAGGCACCCCTAGGAGGAGACAACATATCACTTATCTCAAATAAGTGAAAGGCTGTCTGGAGGGACAAGCTGACTACTTCGGGTAAGTGTGGACTAAACTATATTATTACCAACCAAGGCCAGTTTGCTTCTTATAAAAGCTTCTCTTAGATCTGGATGTCTTTGTTTCCAGGCCTAAATACGACTGTGTTTTCTAATTTCTACACTGCCCCCTATCGTGGAGTTGTTCAAACCTGTGCTCTTACATACCACAGCAGGATAGTTCCTGTGATGCATGTGACAGAGGAGACAGTTCAGAGGGCAGCTGCTCTTAGACATCTAATAGCATAACACAGCAGCTGATTTTATTAGCCAATAAACAAATAAGTTTCCATGATCTCAAGAGTCTCTCAAAGTATAATTTTTAAAAAAAATGCTTCCCTGCACCCACATGGTGGTCCACCACCATCCATAACTCCAGTTCCAGGGAATCAGATGCCCTTTTCTGACAGCCATGGGTATGAAGCATATATGTGGTACATATACATACATGGAGGCAAAATACTCATACATAAAATGAATAAACCTAATACATTAAAAATTATGAGTCAGGAGGGAATATGAGATGGAAGTTATGCTAATGAGTATAAGCATGGAATGTTTCAGAGGAAGTAGCTAATATCACAGCCTGATGCTCAGCAGGGACTTCTTTCCATTCCTGAGGGAATGATCATCAGAAAATACTTCATTGGGGCTTGAGAATACAACTGACACCCACTTACAAAAGAGAAAAAAATCTAACCCAAAAACTGGTTTGAAGTGGAGTGAGGGCAGCTCTCTAACACAATGCAGGTATGCCATCCACCGTGAAAGCACATGCCCCCTGATAACCCGCACTCTCCACCTCTCCATGGGGGCAACCTCCTTCAATTCCACGATTATCATTTCTTTTTTTCTTTAAAATGTTACTGCACATGTTTTCTTTTCCTTCCTTCTTTCCTTCCTTCCTTCCTTCTTCTTTTTTATGAGTCTTACTACACAGCCTGGCTGTCAGGGAACTTACTATGAAGACAAAGTTGGCCTGGAACTCACAGAGATCTGCCTGCCCTCTGCTGAGATTAAAGGCATGTCCACCACATCTGAACCTAAAACATAATTTTGGCTAACATGTTTTCAATCGCCAGCACTGTATATAAATGTATTTTCATAAAGTGAAATAAATGTGTCAAAATTAATTTATCCATATGGTTGATGAAACTGTGTTGTCTACTATAAACAATATTGCCAGGGACATTCTTGTGGCTGGTACACACTTCACTTTCTCCAAGCTGTTATATAAGAGGAATAGAATACATGTGTGTACCACTGGGTTTACTGGTAACACTAGACTGTTTTCCAGTGAGGCTCTGTCTAGAGCCAGTGTATTCTGACGTTCTAACACTGATTATTTTAAATTGTTAACTTTCAATCTAGCTGACACCCCCACTCCTATTCTAGGCAGGCCAAATAAATAAACAAGTTGCCAAAAAAGAACTTCAGAGCTGGCCTGTGGCCTAGATGATGCAATCATGTCTCAGATCTCCCCCTGAGTGGCCTCTGACCTGAATTTGGATTCATGTAAACATAGATACACATATGACTGGTCCACTCTGGGCAACAGTTGAGTTTTTTTTTTTTTTTTTTAATTAGATGAGCAGGAAAGAAAAGTAAATTACAAGACGTGTAAGACATTCCATTCTCTTGCCTCTGCTTTCTTTTTACGTTAGGTAAGAGTATCAACTCTTATGAAAATATTGTTGGAGTGTCAGATCAGAAAAAAGAGACTTCTTGTGATTACTTTCTAGGGTACTAGGAAAAGCACTGGGCATTTGTGTGATCTTTACATGGTCCTGGATAGTTTTGATTATTTAACTGGAAAGTTATTAAGAAAAAAACATCCTTTTAAGCCACAACCAGGCTTGGCTGTCATGGGACCAGAAAGTCATGTCCTTTCATTTCTGGCTTCCTGCTGCTGGCTGATAACTGTCTACCTGCACTACTCTTTAGCAGTAGCCAGGGTAAAGAGAGAGCCCTGCCTCCAACGAGCCTTGTGACCAAGTTCTTCAGTGATCAAAATGGACATGCCTGAGGACATGAGGCACATGCTCTCCTAGCTGTCACTTAGTCACCCCCCGTCCCCCTGGAACCTCATACCATAGACACATGGTCCAGTTTACAAATGGCAGGCTTAAAACATGAACCTATCTGATAGACCACAAACTTGGCAGACACCTGTATGATCAGAATACAGAATAACAAAGAGCTGCTTGTAGCTTAATGGGGCTTCAGTAATTGTTCTGTCCGCTAGCACCCCACAACTATAAAAACAGAAAAAATAAATCCAGTATGAAGAATACCAATACTTTAATGATGCCATCCTCTTTTAGGTCTTCAAGAGGAAGAGTAAATCAGCCTTTTCTAAGCTACCAATGGTATTCTGAAGAATATAAAAAGTCCTTTGCATTTCAGAGGGCTGACCCATGGCCTGTGTGCCCTCATGTTCTCGTGAAGGCTGTGATCAGTTCAGAAGGTACTACAGAAATGCCTTACTAAGAGGCTCCCACACCAAGCTCTCTCCAATAGACAGCTGCCACTTCCGGCTAAGTGCCCAGTGTTGCTTTGGGTGACTGGCTACAGGATGCTGGGATTACAACTCTAACTCTTCGAAAGCCCCCTTATGTGTCCTAGGATATAAAATACAAGGTCCAGCAAAACAAACAAAACACTGTTAAGAAGTATAAGGTCCAGGAGGGGAAATGGAATGTCTTAGACACTAAGTGGGACTTTCTGAGGACGCTGCTCTCCTGGTTTCCTAAGCTATACAGCCTGGCAGAGCCTTGATGGCCACAGAAGTTCAGGCTGGCATCACACCTACTTCTGAAGATCTGCCTGCTACTACCCCAGTGCTGAGATTATAGAGACTCTCCACAAGGCCTGGCTCTTCTCAACAAAAGGTTCCAGTGTAGAACTTTGGGGTAAGCAAGAATCCACTGGACAGCATTCACTTGTGGTTAGCCTACAAGTACCAAAGTTTCTACTGAACACATCATGGACTAAGACTAGAAGAAAGAAGCTGAAGTCAGGATTTTTAAATTTCCAGCTTTCCCTCTCTGGAAAGTCACCTCAAGCTGTGTCCCCTTTGAAGGTATCTTTCTCTACAAAGAGTCTCAACCTTCAGGCTATGGTAAATGCTCCCTCTCTTGGAGTGTAGAAACTACTTATTATCAGGCAGCCGAGTTGTGGAATTGTGGAAGGTTCACCTTTGTACATGTTTCACCTCTAAAATCCTTAAAAAAAAAAAAAAGGATTCTCATTCTCTCTCTCTCTCTCTCTCTCTCTCTCTCTCTCTCTCTCTCTCTCTCTCTCTCTCTCTCTCTCGTGTATACAGTGTTCTGTCTGCATGTACACCTTCACACAAGAAGAAGGCAGCAGATCTCATTATAGATGGCTGTGAGCCACCAGTAGTTGCTGGGAATTGCTGCCAAAAGCAGTCTAGGTGATATCCCTACCATGGACATCATGAGGAGCACCAGGAACAAACACTTCCACTCCAGCTTCTGGGAGTTTGTGTGCTTGTGATGTTAGAAGGCAGGTTGATGCCAATGAAGAGGGAAGAAATAACATATATGAACATATGCTTTTTCGGTAACCACAGAGGAAGGATATGAGCGACAACCCTTAATACATAGTAGAATAAAAAAATGAAAAGAATGGACCAAGCACTGGGGAGATAAGGCAGGGGGTTAGGTGCTGGAGCTAGCCTGAGATAGCCTGTCATAAAAAAAGAAAGTGTTACTTTGTGAAAAAAAAAAATAAAGAGCAAACTTTTCTTTTTGTTTTTGAGGGATGGAACTTATGTTGTCAGCCTCGAGTAACAGGTACTTTAACTGCTAAGCCATCTCACCTGCCCTGTTTTATTTCTTTTCTTTTTGGTTTTTCTGAGACAGGGTTTCTTTGTGTATCCCTAGCTGTCCTGGAGTCATGCTGTAGATCAGGCTGGCCTTAACCTCAGATGGGGGTCAGGTGAGGACTAGAAACATAAAGTAACTTCTGAAGGTTGCAGCAAAAGAGTGAATCAGGAATAGAAAATGGAGCTAATGATGCACATTCTGTGTTTTTTCTCTCTGGAGTTTGTCCTCCCTTTATGAATCAAGCTCAGGAAGTCAGGATGGAACAGAAAAAGAAAGGAAAAGGGAAGAGGAAGTGTGATTTTCTGGTTTATGCTGCCCTTCATATCCTCACTTAAGATTTTTCTTTAACATCTAAGAAAAACCACATACTGGAGGGGAGCCTGGGGGGGAGGGGCTGGGAGAGGGGAGCCAATCCAACAGCTTGCAGTGGCCTGGGATTCCAGAATAAATACTGAAGTTGGCAGAACATGTAGTATCCTTCCTCTTAGTAGGTCACATGAGGACATTGCCTAATATCCGTTATGTGTGTTGTGTGTGTCTGGGAACATATAATATTTATGTTTTCCTCAAATGCTTAGGTACCTTTTTCTTGTGCCAAAAAGATTTTCTGTGTCCTGCCTTCTGATTTAATCTAAAAGTGTCATAGAAAATTGGTCCTAAAGACCTAGAACTTCTTAGAAACAGAGGAGAACTGAGTATTCTCCCAGACAACGGTTCAGATTGAGTCCATTCCAAATGCTGAGTAAATGGGAGGGGTTTGTAGTAGAAACCATAATGCTATGTTGTGGTCACATTTTCACAATTCTTTGGGGGCTGGGAGGGTGGACCCTCTGCCTGGATAGGCTGAAAGGCTATTAACATTTTCTTCTGTGGAAATACAGCCCAGATTTGAGAGTCAAGATCAAGTCATGAGACTCGCTGGAGTCAAACCCTGGCAGCTGGAAGTGCTTTTAGACAGCTGTGCCATCACCTAAAAACACAGCCTAGAACACGCTCACAGGGAAAACAAACCAAACCTATCAAGTCGGAGAATTTCAGCATGTGAAAACTCAATAAAGCGATCTTTAGGTCATTTAATATCTGATGCAAGAGTAGATGAAGGTGATTTTTAACCCCTAAAGGCAGTGAAATTACTCAACTACCAAATGACTATTGAAAACAGATGTTTCTCATTAATACAGGAAATGACTGAAGACAGTAGTGCGTAGAAAGGCAGGCTGAAAAACAGTTTTGTGGAAACATATCTATCAAAATGTATGATAAAACAAAATGTAGAGAAACAGGCAAGGCAATCTTGACTATTATTTGTGGCTACTGAATTTAAAATGTTTTTTCCCTTTGTAACTTTTTTTTTTCAGTTTCACACAACACACATTTAAAATTTGATTAAAGATTTGTATTTTTTTTTTTTTTTTAAAAAGAGTGAGCTGTTGTTTCTGGGTATAAACCTCCAATGTGTTAGTGCACAGGTTGGTACATGACTAAAATTGCTAGAGAGCTCAGTAAAACTGAATACTGAAAAAAAAAACAGCAGGTATTTTTTTCTTCTTCAAGAACTTTAGAGAACACTAGTAGCACCTTAAGAGCACCTGGTATCCATCTTGATGAGGCTGTAGCCAGCATCATAAGATGTTGAAGGTGTTAAATTAAATGTGCACCTCATTGAAAACTGAAATGTTCTAATTTTTCTCTTGAGCTATATCTATCAAATGCCTGAAAGATTACCTAATATTCCATGCTAATCTTAAATTCATATTCTGAACTTACCTTATGGAAGTGTAAAGGAATGAGAGTCAGATAAACGCACTTAAGACTCACCTTGCCAGCAAGATCCCTTGGTACTCTTCCAGTTGTCTCATGAAGCTGGGGTTAGGCTTGGTCACTGTTCGTCTTTCCTTCACATAGTCATAGGCTCGATCCAGATTCCAGCCATACTCCTTCATTGCATAGGCAATCACAGTGGAGGCCGAGCGACTTACCCCCATTTTGCAATGCACAAGGCATTTAGATCCATGTTTCCTAGTTGGGAGATAGAGGGAAAAAGACAGGTTAGTAGATAGCTGGGTTTTAGGTTCCTGTATTGTCCCCCTCCCCCATTTTGCTATGCAATGCTTTCAGCTTAGTACATTCATGTGCCTCTCTGATCAGATATGAGGGTAAAATAAGCACTTTTAACTGTACTTTTAAATAATATTTGTTTTTCTCAAGACAGGGTTTCTATGTGTAGTCCTGGATATCCTGGACTGAACTCTGTAGACCAGGCTGGGCTCAAACTCAGAGGTCCAGCTGCTTCAGCCTCCCAAGTGTTGGGATTAAAGAAGTGTGCCACCACTGTCCAGCTCTTTTTTATTTTTTTTTTAAAAGGGATTTCAATTTTAATATTAAGCCTCTTATACTACTCAGTAAAGAGTTACCAAGTATTTACTATATATAAAATAATAAAATAATATGTACAAGGTACTAGACATAAACTTAAGTATCACACAGCTTTTATCCTAAAGGATTTAGTTCCAGAAACAGATCATTAAAATTCAATGGGTTAGTGTACTGAAGGTCACAAAGTGGAGAGGGGAATTCAGCTTTTGGAGCTGGAGCTCATTTCCTGTGTGGTGGAGGCCAATTCTCTCACAGCCCTCAGGCATGTCTCCTGGCTGGCATTCTCCTGAGTTACAGGTGTGGTAATGATTCATCTGATTTATTCTAATAGCGTTGTTTCTAGTTAAGTTCCCAGGAAGGGCTCTGTCCCTGGAGGAAAGCATTCAGGAAGGCGACTTTTCTTCTCTATTTAGACACAACTGTAGACAGCACCTTTCACTCACCACCACAATGGAGAGAAAGCATGTGATATATCACATAGCTTTCTCAGTGATGAAGGTGGAATGAATGACAGCTACCTGTTTGCTTTTTTGCATGCTTTGAACTAAACTCAGGGTTCCACACATACAAAGGATATATTCTATCATTGTTTTATATATCCCAGTTCTTGTGGGATTTTAACGCAAGGGAAGGAAGAGAAAATAATGCTACCACAAAGCAAACAAAATACATCAGTCTTAATAGGTCAAAACTAATTAACTTGGATATGTACATTATTCAGTTATGCTCTAATTCTAACAACGTAGTGTTTAGCACACAGAAAGTCTTCAAGGCTCTGTTAAATGCCTGAATAAATTATGGATGTGCTGATCACATCTTCCAGCTGCTGAAGAAGGAATATTTTAAAACCTAGAGAAAAAGAACTCCTACTCTTATGGCTACTGCTTGCTCATAGATTCCAGAATCCTTTCAAGTAACTGTTTCAATAAATGAAAACATGTACATGTGAGTATAAGGGGATAAGCTATTTCTTTGCTTACTGACTGTATTGATGGTTGGCAAGCTTTCTTCAGAAGTTTATAATCTACATGAATGAGTGAGAAATTACCAATGCAAGCGAGCTTGAGGTGACCTGCCCAAACAAGTGAGCAGATAAGCTACAAGAATGCAAAGTATGGAATGTAATAATTTTCCTTAATTTTAAAAACTCCATTTATTTATTTGAGTATGTGTGGGTGGGCAGGCATCTGAGTGTGATGGTACACTGACTTGGAGGAGTGAGCTCTCTCAACTTCTACCTTGCGTGTTCGGGGGATTAAATTTAGGTTATCATGCTTGGCAACACTGAGCCATCTTGCTGGTCCTTACAAACGTGATCTCAGCACTTGGAATCACACACCTTTAATTCCAGCACTAGGGAGATAAAAAAGGAAGAACCAATAGGTCTCATGAGAGATTTATTCTCTAGTCATGCTGAGGACAGGATAACCACTTCAGTCTGAGGTAAGAGCTAGGGGCTGGCTGCTTTGCTTTTCTGATCTTCAGCTTGACCTCTAGTATCTGTCTCTGGGTCTTAATTATTCTTGTCACACTTCTCTGGCATTTTTCCACTGGGGTTTTTAAGTGCACAGCTTCTAACTTATTTAACGAGGAGCTAAGTTAGGTTTCATCTAACCCACACTTCAATTTTGTCCTTGAATCCCTGTGTGGGACGGTCTAGATTGAGTCTGGCATCATGTTAGCAGTAGGGCCTTGTACAAGAAGATATAAGAGGAGGAGAAATTTGTGAACAACTGTATCCATTTATGACCTTGGTGCTTGTGATGGCTATTTGACTGTCAGCTTGGCTATACACACTGAATTCTCTAGTCAAAAATGGCTGAGCATACCTGTGAGAGATTTTTGATTAAATCATTTGAAGTGGGAAGACTCACTCTAATTGGGATCTTTGAGGTGGAAAGACCTACTTCTAATCTGGGTCTGCCTTCTGCTGGCAGCCTGTATAAAGGAAATGGAAGAAGGAAGCCTCACTCTGCCTATCCCTTCACTGGCATTAGAGCCTATTTCTTTGGGGGGTTCCAGGGTATACTGAAGACCAGCTAAGACATCCAGCCTCATGGACTGAACAACTACTGAATTCCCAGACTTTCTGTTTATAGGCAGTCACTGTTGGGTTAGCTGGACTGTAGTATGTAAATCATTACACACACACACACACACACACAACACACACACACACACACACACACGTACATACATATATATTCGTTCTATAAGTTCTGTTACTCTAAGGAATTCTGACTAATACAGATTTTGGTGCCAAAAGTGGCTCTAAAGCAACAGAAGTATAATAAGGCTTTTCAGTTTGCCTCTCCTGTTACTGAAGCCTTTCCTGAGAGATTGCAGAATACTTAAAGCCCATGGTATGAACTATTTTACAAATTAAGGCAACAAGTGCATTTGATTATCCTGATTCACAGATTGTGAGACGCAATGGATTTGGTGACTGTCCTGTTTATGAAGACTGTTAGGGGAAAGTAGAGTAATTTCTGAAGGAAGTTAATAAAAAAAGGTGTTTCTCATCTACTAAAGATGGTTTGAATGCTGTCCTTTCTGAAGAGGCTTGTGGCTAAGTAGCTCATTCATGATTCATTCTTCCTAGTGAAAAGATGAATAAAATTGGGAAAGGAAGTCCTCAGAACTTTAAGATGACATGGATAAAGACAAGAGAGAAACCTTACATTTAGAGTATCCACAATAAAGCTCATGACTGGGAAGATTTCCAAAGCTCACTGTTTCTCTCCGTATGTTCAGAAAGGTCTGGTATTTTACCTGTTCATGATAATTTTTGCTGTACAACTTACAAATATCTCCAGTGCTAATTTAATTCAGAGCCTGGCATGATGGATAGTGCATGCTTCTAATCTCAGCACTTGGGAGGCAGAAGCAGACAGATTTTCATGAGTTTGTCTTCTTAAGAGTTCCAGGCTATTTAGAACTACAGAGTGAGACCTGGTCTCAAAATTTCTTTTTTTCTCCTATTTCTCATTTTTATTTATTTTTCTTTTAAGATTTACTTATTTATTTTATGTATATGAGTGTTCTATCTGCATATATACCTGCATGCCAGAAGAGGGCATCGGATGCTATTATTGATGGTTGTGAGTGACCAGGTTGTTGCTGGGAATTGAACTCAGGTCCTCTGGAAGAGCAGCCAATGCTCTTAATCACTGATCCATCTCTCTAGCCCCTCATGTTTATTTCTTTAGTTGCAGCATAATTCCACTCTCTTTAATTCTGTGCTTAGTGGGAAATGAGCCTATATGAGGTTATCTTAGTCTAAGGGATTTCACATGCTTAAAGGGAAAGTGTTAGATCACTGATTTTTTTGTCTAGGATTATGAGATTTCAGTGCCTTTTCCCCTTTACATCCTTATCTCTAAGTACTATCAGTAAATTATGGCAGCCTCTCATTCCTAGCCATGTTTGCACTATCAGAATTGTAGTAAGGGACAATACTCACTTTGCTTTAGAGATGAATTTGTAAGTGTCATTCCAGTAAGCCAGGAGATCCGTTGCCTCTTCATCATATACTCGGATGTTATGATACTCAAAGACTCCGGGGAAGAAGTTGTCTATCTCTCTAGTGACATTCAAGATGTACCGTACCCTGTGAAGAAACCAAGGGAGGGCATATATTTTGTTTCTCAGGTGAAAACGAGTTCCCAGCACCTTATCTGCCATATTCAATACCTAAATTCCATTTCACCTTATGTATGGTTACACAATCTCATCTTTGATAGTATTTTGGAAACAGCCCTCATATCTATATTGACTAAAATAACCTAAGACCCACAACCTAGCAATTTCTGTTGCTAAAATTACCAACAATAAAATTTTATTTGGAAGTGGTATAAAAACCAGATGACTGACATACTCCAAGAAAAAAGAGAAAAGGAAGATTTTATTATTTTTCTGAATGCCAGATTGTTAGGCAAGAAACTGTAAGGGTCCATGGAAAGCTGGACCTGAAACTCCCAAGTTTACCTGGCTGCATTCCTGCTAAGAGTTCTCACATATTGAGCTGTTACCAGAAAAGGGTTTCTCTATTACAAACTGTCCCATCATCTCTCTCCATGCAACAGCTTAACTAATGTGTGGGTTTAATTACCAAAGGTCCCTTTTCCTTCAATGTTGCATAGACTTTAACATCACTGGAGTTTTACTTCAGCAACAGCCTTTCTACAAAACTGTTTCCTTCAAATAACCATTTGTGGGGCTTCATAAACTCAGCTTCCAAAGAAGTTAGGCAAATAAAAAGACCACAGGAAGAGACATAATCAATATATTTACTCTATTTGGTCAAGGCCAAAATTTCGGAGACATGAATCAAATTCATTTTAATGTAGTACTAAAGCCTAATAATAGAAATTATTTTCTTTTAAATTAAAAAAGTAAAATTAAAAAATTTCACATTCCACACAGTAGGAATGTGAAACAGTACAACTGCTATGAAAAACAGCAATTACCAAGAAGGCCAAACGTAAGTTACCACACAAGCATTAGCCCACTCTGCAACCTGCATATAGGTGATCACAGCATCATTATTCAGGATACCCAAAAAAGTGGCTGTCAGTTGATGACATTAGTGGCTTCTAGAGATAGGATAGAAGGTCTCTTTCTAATCTGAAAAAATGTTCTTAATTAACTAGGTAGTTTGCATTACTTGGACACATTTTATAAAACCCATAGAATTGTGCATTTTAATTATGTTAACTATATTGCATCATGAGTTACATTCAATAATTTGATTAGAAGAAAAAAAGCAAGAATACTTATTTTATTTTTATTTTCTTATTTATTTATTTATTTATTTATTTATTTATTTATTTATTTATTTATTTTTGAGAAAGATCTCTATGTGTAGCTGGAGCTTCCCTGAAACCCTATGTAGAGCAGGCTGGCCCCAAATTCGGATATCCACTTGCCTCTTCTCCTGAGGGCTGGGGTTAAGGGCATAAGTCACCATGCCTGACTCACTGATTTTATTTAAAATAAAAATGAGGGTTGGGAGAGATGGCTCACAGGGTTAGAGTGTTTACTGTTCTTCAGAAGACTAGAGCTCAGTTTCCAGCACCCACCCACGTGGAGAAATTCACAACCAGCTGTGACTCCTAGTTCCAGGGGGTTAGATGTTCTCTTTTGTCTCCTCTGAAGACTTCCACAAATGAGTCATGTGGGCACATGCACACATGAACGTGCAAGTGTGCACACATACAACAAAACCCAGCCAGTCTCTTGCTTCTAATACTATACTTCAGCAATGGATTATTGCATAATATCTATAGAGACAGTATACAGCTCCCTAATTCTTTTCATTTCAGAATTGAAAATGCCTACTGCCGACTGGTACTATAACTCCTTGAAATTTCTTTGCTGTACCAGCAACTCTATGAGTGGAGTAACTCTTGGAGTTAGTTTCTAAAGTCAGCAGACTATCTAGAAATGACCTTAATATCAAAATTGCACTTTGAGCCTGGTGGTGGTGGCACATGTCTTTAATTCCAACACTGGGGAGGCAGAGGCAGGCAGATCTCTGTGAGTTTGAGGACAGTCTGGTCTACAAAGCAAGTTTCAGGACAGCCAGGGAAAACAAAAATTGCACTTTGAAATACCATAAATCAATCAATCAATCAATCAATCAATCAATCAATCAATCAATCAATCATTAGCAGGAAATAGTACATACAGTTTTGTGATATACTGAAGCTCAAGACCTATTGAATTTAAGAAATAAGACCCAAGTAATGTTTGTACATCCAATCATTCTGGTTTTTTTTTTTTTTTTTTTTTTTGAGACAGGGTTTCTCTGTGTAATTTGGAGCCTGTTCTGGAACTAGCTTTTGTAGACCAGGCTGGTCTCGAACTCACAGAGATCCTCCTGCCTCTGCCTCCCAAGTGCTGGGATTAAAGGCGTGCACCACCAACGTCCAGCTAATCATTCTGTTTTTAAAGACAACTAGATTCAGTTGCACTTTGTAGTTTAGCCTTATAAGAATAAATGATGGCTGTTATTCCACAGTAGGGTGACTATGGATAACTACATACTGTACATTTCAAAAAGCAAAAAGAAAAGATTTTGAAAGTTTTCACCATAAATAATTGATAAATAGGGGCGAAGAGATGGCTTAATAGTTAAGAGCACTGGATGCTCTTTCAGAGGACTCAGGTTTGATGTCCTCTTCTGGCCTCTAGGGCAACAAACATGCAAGCAATACAAAGACATACATGCAGTCAAAATGCCCATACACATAAAAAACAAAACTTACTTAAAAAAAAAAAAAGAATTGAAAAATGTTCCAGATGACAAACTTGATTTAAAACATTAAATGTAGGTACCCAAACATCACATGGTACCACATTAAAGTATATAATTTTAATATTTTTACAAAATGTTTTAATAAAAGAAGTATTTGTGATGGATAGTCTCACCTCCAGCTAGTATTATAGCTTACTGTATGTACATACAATGTGATTACAATGTATTTGGCAAGCAGTGCTATGTCAAACTTCATATTAACTATCATTATCTAAGTTTTCTAGAATGATAGAACTTTTAAACTTTATAAAATTGTAAGCTGTCAAAAATTGTGTCCTACTCTCAAGGAAAATGTAAGTGAACATCAGCAGATAAAGCAGAGGCACTGTTGTTTTCAAGTCCAATCAGGGTCTTGTCTTCAAGGGTTCTGTCAAGAAACCTACCAGGAAACAATTTATTTACTTTAGTTTTTAAAAATTCTACCTACCTACCTACCTACCTACCTACCTACCTACCAACCAACCAACCATCTTTTTTCTAGACAGGGTTCCTCTGTGTAGCCCTGGCTGTCCTGGAACTCTCTTTGTAGACCAGGCTGGCTTCAAACTAACAAAGATTCATCTACCTCTGCCTCCCAAGTTCTGGCACTGAAGGTGTGTACCATCACTGCCTTGCAAATTTACCTAGTTTTAAGAGGGCAAATGAAAGACACAGGATGAGAGTCTAGGTCTTTGAGTTCTCAGCCCACTTTATTAGTTGATATCCTTCCTTCATCTGTCATTAGGCAAATGACAGTTCTCACATGTATTTGAATTTTTTTAATCATTCATTCACAATGAACATCATCAGTGTGAAGCTTTGAGTTTGAAAGATGTAAATGCAAAAGATGAATATATTGCCTCTAACTTTAAAAGCTCCAGACCAATCCTTACTAATTAACATTTTTCAAGTTATACTTATTTTTATATCTTCAACTAAGCACCTAGATTTTCACACCTGGGATTTTTTTTTGGTAATGAAAATTAGAAGTTCATTTTAGCAATTATAAAACACCTTTCTTGTCAGGGAGGGAGGAAAGCAGGAGGGCACCTATCAGCACCTCAGATTCTCAGTCTATCATGGCAATGAGAAATGATTCATTCTTTTCCTCCTCTGGCCTAGGCAAGCTCTACCACTTAACTACATTCCTAGCAAACATTTGACTCTTAAAGTACCAAACACTTGGGAATTTGTTTTTCAAAGCCATTCCATTAATACAATTGGCCTTTCTTGGGAGGGTAGAGGATCAAATAGTTGAGAAAATAACTGTTCTTCTTATTTTTTTATTTTTATTTTTTTGTTTCGTAAGATTATAGCTGAGAATTGAAAGCAACTCTAAGGATTAAAGTTTACCCATCAACACTTCTTTGACAGCAAAATATAAAGAGTAAACAGGGACTTCAGTCACAGAGAGGTGTCAGCAATTGCTCTGTGTGCTCACCCTCGGTTCTGTAAGTCCTCTAGGTTTGAGGCATTCCATTCTGAGCCCTGTGGAGCCAAAAGGACAAGGTTAGTGGGTATTATCAAATAAACTAAACAGGGAGGGTATTTGGAAAGGAGCACTGTGGAGAAACAGCCTCTGAAAAGTGACTCAACAGCCTCTACTCAATGTCTCAAGTCCCAGGAACTTTATGTTATCACACCTAGTTTTTATTAATGATAACGCAAAAAGTTATTTTTGTTTTTCAGGGTGGGAGTGGTGATTGTGTATTCACATGTGAACAGACAGTGTCACAGTATGTATGTGGGGATCAGAGACGACTTGAGGGAGTTGTTCTTGTCTTCCATCACATGTGTTGTGGGGGTCAAATTCAGATTGTCAGGCTTGGGGCCAAGTGTTTTTACCCATTGAGTCATCTTGCTGACCTGAGATCTTGAACTTCAAAACCTACTGTTTTCATCTCCAATGAGTTGGGATTACAGGGATGCACCAGTAAACCCAGTTTATACGGTGCTATGTTCAGGTTAGGCAAGTATTCTATGAACTGAGCTACATCTCTTGTCCTAAATTGTTTTTTAAAATTGTATTTTGTTATGTGTGTGTGTGTGTACACAAATGTGAGTTGGTGTGGGTGCACTCATGTCATTGCATGCATGTGGTCCCAGTGACTGACCTTAGGTTGTTAGATGTGGTGGTAAGGGCCTTTGCCTGATGAGCCACCTTGTCAGCCCCCAACTTTTCCTTTCTTTTTTTTTGAGACGGTTTCTCTGTGTAATAGCTCTGGCTGTCCTGGAACTCAATTTGTAGATCAGGCTGGCCTTGAACTCACAGAAATCTGCCTGCCTTCCCAGTGCTAGGATTAAAGGCATGTGCCACCAGTTTATGGCATATACTTATATTTCAGAATCAAAAATTATGAATGTGATAAAAAGTGGACCACTTAATAACTGTCTCAATAATACACAATTTCTCTGTGCTATCATAAGTATAACCAGCTTGTGGTTGAATTTTTATTTGATTGTTTAACTTTTTTTTTATGCACACTGGTGTTTTTCCATGGAACTGGAGTAATAGACAGTTGTGAGCCGCCATGTGGGTGCTGGGAATTGACCCCAGGTCCTCTAGAAGAGCTGTCAGTGCTTTTAACCGCTAAGCCATTTTTCCAGCCCCTGAATTTTTATTTGGAATCACTCTTCTAGAAAGGTTCTGTAATGTCAAATCTTGAAAAAGGGTAATCAGTAGTAAAAATTCTGCCACTTTATTAATAAACAAAATTACTCTGCATCCAATACTCTCATGTTTCCCTTGCTATGAAGATCCTGCTTTTCTGCTAAAGGTCTCGATTCACATGTAGGTTTTCTTAGCCAAATCAGACAGCCTCCACCAGGAGAGCTGTTGATATAAAATCTGGTTGGGCAAAGGCTTCTAGCTCACAGAAATTGTACAATCTTATGAGAATTTAGATGACTCTTTTTTCCTAATAATCAATCAATCTTTCCTTCTTACTGAAGATTTTCTTTGAACTATGTTCTAAACATTCCTTCTCCATATCAGCTGATACCTTTCTGAATAAACAGATCTCTGTGCAGTATAGTGTAGAGCTGAGCATTCCTCCACAGGGAGGGTGAATTGCTGCCTCTCCTCGCACAGTCTGGTTGAGCTCCAGACACAGCAACTATGCCTGAAATGGGATCACTTTGACAAAAGTAACCTTACAGTTTGAAACCAGGTTAGACCACTTTTCCCATGTCAACTGCTAGGAAAGTGTATACTCACATAGAACATGTGGTACAAAACCAAGGGAAAGCCAGCAAAATATGGTTTGATACCATCTTCAAGCATTTACTTTGCATTCTGAATAAGAGTTAAAATGTATAATTCTCTTATTTGGAAGTTAAGTTATTAAATAAGAAAATGATTTACACCTTTAATCCCACCACTCAGGAGGCAGAGGCAGGAGGATCTCTGAGTTTGGGGCCAGTTTGGTCTACAGAGAGTTTCAGAATAGCCAGAGAACCCTGGCTTAAAAACAAAAACAAAGAACCAAAACCAAACCAAAACCAAAACCAAAACCAAAAAAAAAAAAAAAAAAAAAAAAAAACCACCAAAAAAAAAAAAAAAAAAAAAAAAAAAAAAAAAAACCAAAAAAACAAAAAAACCCAAAACCAACCAAATTTACACACAGTAAGAACTCTCGTACCATAAATATGTCCAAACTCATACAGTGTACAAACATTCTGTATAATTTATGGGCTCAGCTGACAATGATGTGCCAATCAATGCAGGCTCATTAACTCTAACAAATGTTCCACTCTTTCATTTATTTATTTTTGTTTTTGTTTTTTTCCTTCAAGACAGGGTTTCTACATAGCCTTGGGTCTCCTGGAACTCATTCTGTAGATCAAGCTGACCATGAACTCATAGGGATCAACCTGCCTCCATCTCCCATCTCCCAAGTGCTGATATTAAAGGTGTGAGCCACCACTGCCTGGTCCAAGTGTGCCACTCTTGACAGGGTATGCTGGCTATGTGGCAGGCAATATATTCACAGCAGCTGAGGGTACATGGAAATTTTAAATTTTCTGCTTAATTTTCCTATGAATTTAAAACATCTCTAATATTAAAGTCCACTTACTAGATGTATGTGTATATGTAGTAATAAGATAAAAAGTATGACTAGGAAGCAAATAACAAAGATAACAGTGATACCTTCTTGGGTAATGATTAAAAGTGATTTATTTTCTAAAATTGGAAAAAATTCTACAATGAAATTTAAGCATTTTACTTTTTATGTATTAATGTTATGCCTGTGACACATATGTGCCCCACCTGTGTGTCTGGTAACCTTGGAAATCAGAACAGGGCTTCAGATGCCCTGGAATTGGAGCTCTGGATGGCTGTGGCCATCACGTGGCTGCTTGACTTATTGACTATGTAGTTTGGATTGACCTCAAATTTGTGACAGCCTTCCTGCCTCAGCTTTGGCAGTACTGGGATTACAGACATGAACTACCATGCCTGGTAAACATAAATTATCTTTGTAATATGAAAAAACTCAAGAAAGAATAATGAAATCCTAAGAGGAAATATGCAACCTCATTTGTTGGTGATTAGGGAGATATAACCTGGGAGAAATTAGACTGATATTTCAGTAATATTAAAAATACATAAAATATACCAGTTGAAGAAAGGATAAAGAGGAGGCAGTTCTGAATTCTAGATGGAAGTGAGTGGTGGTAGAGACACAGGAAATATGCCTGCCTGGTACAAAATAGGTTGATCAATCAGAAAGTGGCTATAATTGATATTTATCATGCCTGTGCCATGTATGTATGTATGTATGTATGTATGTATGTATGTATGTATGTATGTGAGACAGGGTCTCACTGTATAGCTCTGGCAGGCTTAGAACTTACTATGTAGACCAGGCTGGCCTTAAACTCATAGAGATCTACCTGCCTCTACCTCCCAAATGTTGGGAATAAGGGTGTGCACCATAATGTAAGGCAACATGTGTGTATGTATTGTGCTGGTGATCAAACACTGGGCCCAGCACAGGAGAGAAAAGTTCCACATTTTTTTTTAAAGTGTTAAAATCCACATTTAGGGCTGGGAACGTGGTTTAATGGTAGAGTCCTTGTCTACACAGGTCTCTATACTTGATCTCCAGTACCAAAGAAACAAACAATGCTTGATGGTAAAGTGACTTCTAGTTTGCTCCTGATCCCCTTCTTCCTAGGGTATTATGGCTCCCAGGTTAAATTCAAACTCTCTGTGCAGCTGAGGACAACCTTGTCATGAGTCCTGGAGTGTTACCACACACAGCTCACATGGTGCTGGGATCATACTCAGCACCATATGCATGAAAGATAGGCACTGTACCACCTGGGCTACATCTTTAGGTAGCTCTGGCCACTATCTCACATGAGCTCTTTTTTGCTTACTAGAATTCTGTCTTTCATAAAAGTTCAGTCACATTTCATGGAATCAGAGCAAAGATCACCTGAGTGAGTGGCTCTTAAGATTTCTACAGACATGAAAATGTATACTAGAGATAATAAATTCAGGTTTCTTATTCATACAAAGGCCAGGATATCCAGAAATGGCAACACATACTGGCCAAGTTAATGTACTGGAAAAAGGCCAGGCGGTGGTGGCGGTTGTCTTTAATCTTAGCAGTCCCTGCCCTGCCCCCACCAAAACACTAGAAAAGAAGATCCCCTGTCAGTTCATAGCTTTGTTCACTAATTTCATAGCTATTTATGGGCCATTTGAATAAAACTAGAGACAAATACGCTCTAAAATATCAATAAAATAAACTTCTGAATGTTCAGAGTGAGGTAATAAAGTTTAGTCAGTTTCTGTTTGTCTTCCCTCTTCTCTCTGTATTCCTGGCTTCTAACCAGTTCAGTTCACAATGTTCATCAGAAAATGGAAGTGCTACATTTCTGGATAAGATAGTACTGGCCTCTCTATGGATAAGGATAAGAAGCTTTTGTAACATATTTGTCCAAAATTTATATGAAGTGGAGACAAAATGATGTTTTAGCATTCTTTGCTTTTAAGTATTCTTGTTAACTTTGCTCCTACCACCACGTACACATAAAACTAGAATTCTTCAACCTCAGAGTCTCTGTTGTGTGTGTCTTCCTTGAGGCAATTATAGGTCACTGAATGTTTGCTAACTGTGAAGAAAAATTTTTAGTCCCTGACTTTTTGGTAATCATGAAAAGTAATTTGGGGGCCTCAAATTGCTTGGACATGGTTTCATTATGTTTAAAAGTTGAGGGCTGAGGATGTATTTCATGCTTAACATGTGCAAGGATCAGGATTTGATCCTTAGGGCTCCAGAAAAAAGACTAAGCAAATAAAGTTCAACAGACTTTCTGTTGTAAGTAGTCCCATCTGCTCAGATGACATACATCAGGTCTTCTATACATTCTTAGAAAGGTGTGAAAGGCATTCAATTTAGATATACTGTGTGAAACCATAGCAGACTAGCATATTTGACTCATCCTGGTATTAACCCACACACCTACGAACACCTGATTTTTGACAAAAGAGCAAAAATTATACAATGGAAAAAAGAAAGCGTCTTCAACTAATGGTGCTGGCACAACTGGATGATGGTGTGTAGAAGACTGCAGATAGACCCATGTCTGTCGCCACGCACAAAACTCAAGTCCAAATGGATCAATGACCTCAACATCAATCCAGCCACATTGAACCTCTTAAAAGAGACAGTAGGAGGTACCCTTGAACAAATTGGTATAGGAGACCACTTCCTGAACATAACTCCAGGGGCACAGACACTGAGAGAAACAATTAATAAATGGGACCTCTTCAAACTTAGAAGCTTCTGTAAGGCAAAGGACACAGTCAACAAGACCAAACTCAGCCCACAGACTGGGAAAAGATTTTCACCAATCCTATATCTGACAAAGGGCTGGTGTCCAAAATATACAAAGAACTCAAGAAACTAGTCAACAAAACACCAAATAACCCTATTAAAAAATGGGGTACAGAACTGAAGAAAGAATTCTCAATAGAGGAAATCAAAAAGGCTGAAAGACACTTAAGAAAGTCCTCAACATCCTTAGCTATCAGGGAAATGCAAATCAAAACATCTTTGAGATACCATCTTACTCCTGCCAGAATGGCTAAAATTAGAAACACCAATGACAACTTATGCCGGAGAGGATGTGGAAAAAGGGGAACACTCCTTCACTGCTGGTGGGAGTGCAAACTCATACAGTCATTTTGGAGATCCATGGGGTTCCTCAGGAAAATGGGAATTAGTTTATCACAGGACCCGGCAATCCCCCTCTTAGGCATATACCCAAATGATCCACATCCATACAACAAAGACATCTGTTCAACTATGTTCATAGCAGCACTATTTGTAATAGCAAGAACCTGGAAGCAACCTAGATGCCCCTCAATTGAAGAATGGATAATGAAGATGTGGCACATCTACACAATGGAATACTACTCTGCAGAAAAAAATAATGGTATCTTGAAATTCGCAGGCAAGTAGATGGCACTTGAAGAAACCATCCTGAATGAGGTAACCCAGTCGCAAAAAGAGGAACACAGTATATACTCACTCATATATGGATTTTAGACCTAGATCAAAGGATAACCAGCCTATAATTCATACCACCAGACGAACTAGGATACAAGGTGTATTCTAAGAGATTCATATAAAGTCCCTCACAGAACTGGGAAGGGACAAGTCCCCCAGAGCACAGGGGAAGTGGGGGGGGCAGCAAATGGAGAGAGAAGTAGGAGAAAACGAGGGGGAGGAAAAGAAAACACATGTGACCAGGAAAGTTTGAGCCCGGTTAGGAATAGAAGACAGGAGAGAGAGAGAGAGAGAGAGAGAGAGAGAGAGAGAGAGAGAGAGAGAGAGAGAGAGAGAGAACATAAAAAGAGGGAGCCAATATTGGTTTGAAGATAAAATTGAACACAAAGAAAGGTCTAGAGAACTACAAGACTGCCGCCAACTAACAATTTGAGCTTCCGTGGAAAGGCTACCATAAATGCCCTTCCTGGATAGTGAGATCAACAACTAACTTATCCATGGAGCCCTCATCTCATGCCTGTTGGAAACAGGAGCAAACACCCATACATAAACAGAGTCGAACTAGAATCCAGATGCAGATGGAGAGGACAAGACCAGGCTGCAGAAACACATAGAGACAGCTTACCTGAACAAGGAGGAGCTAACGGGCCCCCCAGACTGATAGCTGGGAAGCCAGCATGGGACTGACTCAGGCCCCCCTGAATATGGGTCTCAGCCAGAAGGACTGAGCAGTCGAAGGGACCTCAGACAGTGGAACCAGGATGTATCCCTGGTGCACTAAAGGACTTTGGGAGCACATTCCCCATGGAGGGATACTCCCTTAGCCTAGAGGCAGGAGGGAGGCCTAGAATCTATTCCAAGTGACTTGACAGATTTTGATGATCCTTCCTGGAAGGCATCACCCGCTCTGTGGAGTGGGGGGTGGGGTGGGGGGAGGATGGGACAGGAGGGGACCAGGGGCATGAAAGAGAGGGAGGGAGAAGGAACTGGGATCGATATGTAAAATAAAAAATAATACACACACACACACACACACACACACACACACAAAGACAGATTTAACAAACTAGAGGAAGAAAGTCCTGGTGTGTAGCATTTGTCAAATTCCTATGTATAAATATTATCCTCATACTCAGTTTTAATCCACATAAAAATCCACTGAAGGAGGATCTGAGAAGAAATGAGCAGCAGCAAACCATTATGTAACATTTCCACCATACGACATGGTAAATAACCCAGGTCCTCTGAAACTAGTTTCAAAATACTGCTTAAAGTAGTTTTAAAACTTACCAGGAACACATGCTCAAATATTTGTGTAGGACTATCCATCTGACCAAGGATCACTATCATTTCATTATCTATGAATTCCTTGAATTCTCGCAAGTTGCACACCATTTGCATTTCCAACTCTGTACGTATCTGAAACAGAAGTGATGTTAATCTCTGTAAAGTTTTTTTGTGTTTTCAATATAATTTTTAGCTCCAAGCCTATTGTTATTCCACTCCATCACAACATTGAGGACTCAATGTTGCTTACCTCTTTGGATGTGATATTTTCCAAATCCTTTTGCATCATAATCTCCCTTAATTTTGTTTTAATAAGCCTTTCTGTTCGTTCACGTTCAGTTGGTCTGAGGATAGACAAGTAGTGATTTTTCTTAAATAAGAATTTAACCAAAGCAATGAATTCACCATTTGATTATGTTTCCAAACTACTTCTCTTACTCTCATATTTATATTGCAGAGGCATAGCAAATAAAAGTAATACCCAACTATACAGTGAATTTCAGGCAAATGTGGGTACTACATAATCAGACAATGTCTAAAACAAAAGTGAAACCAAATTAGCAACAAGAACATCTTTCCAAACTAAACCAACCAACCAACTAACCATCCAAAACAAAAAGCCCATATAGAACATAATAAAAACATAAAACTACTGGAACAGGTTCTATGTGTTTAAAAGTCTTTAAATACACTAAGAATATACAGATCTAAGAACCAAAGACTAGTTATTGATGACCCACAAAATATAGTGTCATGTGGGTAGAGGTCTGTGCCGTGTTTCCCCTCACCCCTCCACACCCCCTCCCAGCCAAAAAAAGAAAGAGTCAAAGACAACTGTATGTATCAAGTATAATACCTCATGTCCCTATCAAGAACGCCCAGGTATCATCAACTACTGAGCTACAATACCAATCTGGGTAGAATAGTGGTGAGAATCTCAATGGAACCAGACCTTAAAATGCCATCCTATGCTGATCATTCAATGATGTGGGTCTATAAGATAAAAAGGAAGACAGATCCAACCTCCTCTAAAAGGCAAGTTTTATTCTAAAATGGGTTGTAGGGGTTAGCTATCTGAAATACTTCCATCCCAAACACTTTTCCTTTTCATGGCAATTCTCAGAATAGCTTTGTGAATTTTTTTTTTGTTTTCTTTTTTTTGAGCAAGGTCTTGCCATGTAGTCCAGGCTGGTCTAGAACTTTCAATCCTCCTGCTTCAGCTTCACCGCCCTTTTCTTCCTGCTCATTTCTGTGAAAATTTATACTAACTCTATAGTTAAGGAGACAAACATGTTAAAAGATAATCATATACATTAGCAGGAAAATCAGACCAGCTCTCTTATCTGTAGGATTGTGTTGTTTTCGGACTCTAAAATTACTCAAGACCAGGTGTGGTGGCACACGCCTTTAGTTGCTGAGTTAGAGGCCAGCCTAATCTACATAGTGATTTCTAGGATTGCCAGGGCTACATAGTAAGACCCTGTCTGAATAATAAACAAACAAAACAAAAAACAAATTTACTCAGCTGGACAGTAGTGGTGCATGCCTTAAGTCCCAGCACTCAGGAGACAGAGGCAGGCGTATCTCTGTGAATTCAAAGTTAAAATGGTCTAAAGAGCTAGTTACAGGACAGCCAGTGCTACAAAAAGAAAGCCCCATCTTCAAAAACCAAAACGAGAAACAAAAAAGGAAGAAAAGCATTAGTTCAGAGTAACTGGATGTTTCTCTCTAGAGGCATGGTTCATGTTATGCAGGATTTGCATACTTTCTGTCCCATCTTTGCCCCTACCTACTTAAGAAAGGTATCTGCTTTGCATCTCCTTATTTGGAAATGGACATGGCCTAAGCCTTCAGGCATCCTGCCTGTTCCTGCTTACAGCCTTATCACTGGCTACAAAAATAGCCTCTGTAATCTCCAATTCTGTATGCTGCATCTCCACACACTAGGAGTGCCACATTGCTTCGGCACTCAAGCTTCTCATGAACTATGCAGAACACAGCTAATACCTGTGCTGCTCTTGCCAAGGCATTTCTGTCTTGAATAGGAGTGTAATTCTTATCTAGACTTCATTTTTCCTGGACATAGTAATGTGGGAGGAAATGTGTAATGATAATCTACTGAAAAGACGTATTGATAAAAACAGATTTTAGCACCTGTGTGTATGCATGGGTTGGAGTTCTTAGTTAAGTAGTTTTTCTTGGTCCTTCACACTCTGAGGTGGAGTAGTTTGGGAGAGGACAGACCTAGGTTTAATCATAGCCCTGCTACTTACAGTTAATGTGACCTTGAATCAGGGTCCTTGTTTCTGAACCTGGCAGGCATAACATTAGATGTACACTTGGGCACCACACACATACATGCCTTTCTTGGATTACAAATATAAACTGTTCACAAGAAACGCTGTAAATACATTTTGGCTTACATTTTTCCTGTATTCTCACTCTCTTTTTTATAGGTCTTTTTGTTAACTTGGGAAGGAATAAGGCACAGAAAAAAACACACTTAGCATAAAACATACTTTCTCCTCTTTGATGTCACAGAAAAAAAAATGTAAAATACAGAGAAAACAAAACCACTTATTTAGATATAATCATGTCCAAGTTAGCTGTTTTGATGAAACACCATGACCAACAGCGAGTTTTAGAGAAAAGGGCTTATTTCTACATCCTAGTCCATCATGGAAAGAAACCAGGACAGGTCCTCACATCAATCACTAATTTAGAAAATGCCCTACAGGCTTGCCTATGGACTGATCTTATGGGGGCATTTTTTCAACTGAGGTTCCATCTTCTCAAACAACATTTTGTGTCAAGTTGACATAAAAGTAGCCTGCACATCAATTCTGGTATTTGGGCCTACAGTTTCCATTTATTCCTTTCTATTAAATGTATCTTAAAACTAAGAACTAATGTCCAGTGAGTATCTACTAGGTGCCAGGATCTTTACTTTTTTTGGTTTTGCTTGGGGATATAAAGCAATTCCTTCTTCTGTGTTACAGATCCAAAATCTCAAATAAAATCAAAATTAAGAAAGAAAAAACAATAGTTTACTTATCTTAAGATATTTATTCTTTATTTTGAGATGGGGTTGGTTCTACTATCTGCAGTCAATGCTGGCTTAGAACTTGAACCCCTCCTGCCTCAGTCTCAAAAGAGTACTGTGTGCTACTATCCCTGGCTAGGAAGGATTTTGCTCTTTAAGCATGATTTAGGATATACTTCACAATATGAAATCATGACAATAATTTTCCACAGATTTGTATCTTTTTGTTACTATGGGGTCTTGAAAGGACTAGGCTTACTGGAAAGGCTCTGGAACCGACAACTAAGTAAAAACAAGACTGATGATATTTTGATTACTTCTTGAACTAAAATAAAGCCACAATTAACAGAAGTAAATTTAACCCAGTATTCTTTTCAATGGATTGGAAACATCTTTCTTCCTTTGTTCCTTTCTGAGACAGGGTCTCACTAAGAAGTTCCAGATGGCTTTAGAACTCACTCTGTAGATCAGGCTAGCCCTGAAGAGATCCATTTGCTTCTGCTTCCTGAGTGCTGGGATTAAAGAGTAGTTTCTATTGGTTACAACAGTAAATGAAAAAAGAAAACACATCAACTATTGTTCCTGTCTTGGAATTCTCTCTGTAGACCAGACCAGCCTCAAACTCACAGAGATCTGTCTGCCTCCGCCTCCCAAATACTGGGATCAAAGGTGTGTAACACCAGTGCCTGGCTTTTTAAATTTTATGTGCATTGGTGTTTTGACTACATGAATGTCTGTGTGAAGGTGTTAGATGCCCTGGAAAAGTAGTTACAGACAGTTGTGAGCTGCCATATGGGTGTGGGAATTGAACCCAGGTCCTCTGGAAGAGCAGCCAGTGCTCTTAATCACTGAGCCATCTCTTAGATTTTTATAGCACTACATTTTTGATTGTAGACACACTATTCTGTTCAAGAGTGAAATTTCTCAGGCCTTTTCAGGAAACAGAAGGATATTCATGTAAGACAGATGTGTAATCTACATTGTAACTATTGTCAGTGGGGCAAGGTTAGCTCCTAAGGAATAAGCTGCCTAGGATATAAGAGAGGGCTCCCACAATCCTCAGCAAGCCAACTTACATGTCTGTGAAGAGGGCTGGAGAGTCAGGCCGATGAGACTGCACATCCTGCATAGCATTCCATTCATTGACTGAGGATTGATCTGAGTTGATATGGCTCTCATAATAACTCACCCAAGTGAGAAAAAGACTGCCTGGATAGTAGTTATGCATTCTGGCCACTTCACAAGCCTTGTGCAAGCTCTGTAGTGCAGACCTGAAAAACAGGCCTAGACATGAGACTATAGAATTACGGGGTACCTAAAGAATAAAAGCCAAGTCTATCTCAAACCCCTCTAACTTTTGAATTCTACAGAGTATTACTCTCTGTAGAACTTCCTCTCTCCCCAGAAGTCAAATTCTCTGATTCTGATGCATCCTCAAGGCAAGTGCTGGGGGAAGGGGGCGGAAGAGCACTGACAACTAACTCCCCAGTGGAAAAAAAAGTCTAGGAACCTATGGCCTCATGACCTTATCCCTGGACTCATGCTGTGACTGTGTCATTAGCAACCAGAAATCTTAACAATTAATTATTTAAATTTTGTTTTCCTTTGGCACAGAAATCACGTGATAGCTTATTCTCTATGTCCTTACAGGCTCCACAAAGATCACATAGGCAGATGCCTCTATGCCATGAGGCTATGTTCTCTGATGTCCCAGAAGTATTGACCTAAAGGCATTTATCATTCTTGCTACCTTAGTCTCCTAGTTCTTTAAACCATTTATTCATTCACATGAGTTACTTTCTAAGAATAGCTTTGGCTATCCTGAGACTAAATTAAACCTTCTGACTCTGAGCTCAGAAACCCAAGACGGGTAAACAAAACTTGAAACTGTTTTTTTCTATTTACCTAAGCTAAAGCCAGAAATGCTAGAAAATAAACAAAGACAAACAAAAGAAATGATAGGAAGTAACTTACACAAATCCAAGGACCACTCTACATTTATTTATTGTTCTACCTCCAGTGCTTAAAAAGGCCTAGATCATAGCTAGAGCTCAAATAATGTCTCATTAGCTACAAACTAATGTTTTCCCTTTGAAGGAAAACTTTTCTTTATAATGTTTATTACTTTTAAAATTACTTTATGTGTATAAATGTTTTGATTGCATGTATGTCTGTGTACCATATGTGTGCCTGGTGCCCAACTGGTTAGAAGAAGATGAAGGATCCCTTGGAACTGTAGTTACAGAGGAGTATGAGCCACCATTTGAGTGTTGGAAATTGAAGTCGGGGTCTCTGCAAGAACAAGAATTTTTAACTGCTGAGTTAATGTTCTAGCACCCACCATTAAAAAAAAATTGTGTGTGAGTGGGTGCCCATGTTATAGTAGCATACATATAGGGGCTAGAGGTAAATTTTGGGGATATTAGTTCTTTCTTCTACCAGGTGTGTTCTGGAGACCAAACTCAGTCTGTCAGTCTTGGTGGCCAGTGCCTTTATATGCTAAGCCATTTAAAACAATCTTTAATATTTTTTGTTAAGAATACCTCTTACTTCCCCCTCCTTAAGAAAAGTGATCCATGCTCATTTAAAAAAAGTTCTAGTTGGCCAGACATAGTGGGACTTGCCTTTAATCTCAGCACTTGGAAGGCAGAGATAGGTGGATCTCAGTGAGTTCAAGGCCAGCCTGGTCTTGTACTTATTCATTTTATTTTGCATTGAGTGTTTTGCCTGCATGTTCAAATGTGTCCCATGTGAATGAATAGAGGTCAAAAGAGGGAGTTGGATAACCTGCAACTAGAATTACAGATGTGTGAACCACCATGTGGTTGCTGGGAATTGAACCTGGGTCCTCTATAAGAACAACAAGTGCTCTTAACAGATGAGCCATCTCTCCAGCCCCATATTTTTTTTTTCCCTTAACACCATTTTAGTTAAGGGTAACCCACCAGTTAGTTACTTTTAATTATGTAAAAAAAAGTTTTTTAAAGACAAGGTTTCAAGGTAGCCTAGACTTGTTGTGAACTTGTTATATAGTCAAGGCTGTCCTTGAACTCCTGACCCCTTCATCTCGTGTGCTCCCAAGATGGGTGTCAGTGGCTCATGCCTCTAATCCCAGCACTTGAGAGGTAGAGACAGGCGGATCTCTGTGAGTTTGAGGCCAGCCTGGTCTACAGAGTGAATTCCAGGACAGGCTCCAAAGCAATAATACAGAGAAACCCTGTCTCAAAAAAAAAAAAAAAAAAAAAAAAAAAAGTGTGCTCCAATTCCAATGCTGGTCTAGATTTAAAACAAACAAAACAAAGTTGTAGGGACTAGATGGCTTAGAAGTTAAGAGTGTTCTTGTAGAGGACCTGTGTTGGATTCCATCACCCATATGGTGGCTCATAATGGTCAATAACTCCAGTTCCAGAGAATCCAACACATCCTTATGGCTTCCTTGGGCCATGGTGCACATGGTGCATGCAAACTTATGCAGGCATATACATATACACATATATAAAAATAATAAATAAATTAAAAAAACAAAGTTGTAGACTCTCAAAAAGTATTTCAAAGATATAATCTCTGGTTTTATTTCTGAAAAAAAAATATATATGGTAGATACATGTGTATACATTTGTGTGGATTTATGTGAGTACTTGCATATGTGTGCTCCTGCATGTGAAGCCAGATGTCAATATTGGGTGTCTTCCTCAACCCCTGTCCTCATTTTTTTTGGGACAGAATTTCTCATTGAGCCTGGAGCTAATAATCAATTTGGCTAGGCTAGCTGGATAATGAGCTTCAGAGATTTTCTGTCTCTAGCATTTTTTTCTTTTTGAAGTAGATATTGAATAAGTCTCCATGCTTGCACAGCAAACACTTACCTGACTGAGCCATCTGTCAGTCCCTAAAATGTTTCCTATTACTCAAAATGGGCAAACGTTCAGAGAATTTCAGTTTCACTCCAGTGATTCCAAGCATACTCTCTTCATTTGGAAATTCATGCAACTGCTCTAAAATACACTCAGTGTTAGCTGCTTCAGATACAACGGCTGCATGCAGGAGTGGAGGCTACAGTCACTAGAGTCCAGTTAGGGAAAACACCTGGTCTAAACACTGTTTTGATCCACATCCCTAGTATTTCTCTCCTATGACTTTCAATTCAATACTCTTTAAAAAGGTAACGGAACTATGACTAGTCAGTTTACTTAAAACAACGGTCTTGATCTGAGGTTATTACTTGAATTAAGCCTGCTTTGTCCTCCTCAAAATAGACCTGAAAACACTGTCATTCTACCGTACCCATGGGAATTCACCTGTGAACCATGCTCTAAATCTAATCTCATCTAAATCTCTGACTTAATTACTGCATAAGAAAGTTTATTGTTCAGTGACAATGTGGATTCTCCATACCTAAATCCTATCACTTCTGTTATACAGGCTTAGATTATTTCCAGACTTATTTCACTTCTTGTTTTGTTTGCCTTATCTCCATTCTACTCATCATGGGGTACTTCTACTATAGGACAGGCAGTAGAATGAGAAACAGATTTATTTATTATTTATTTGTTATGTGTGTGCGTGGTCAGAGTGCTTGTGTATAAACAGATTTGTGTGTGCACATGTATGTGTGTGTTCCAGTAGGTTAGAGGTCAATGTTGTTATGTCTTCTTCAGTTGCTGTCTACCTAATTATTTGACATAAGGTCTCACTGAACCTGTATCTCAATGTTGGACTAGCAATTCCAGCATTTGCCTGTCCCCCATTTCTTTTCTTGCCTAACTCCCTGCAACATGGGGGTACAGACGAGCATTGCTGTGCCTGGCTTTTTACATAGGCATTAGGAATCTGAGTTCAGACCCTTATGCTTGCATGACACTTTACTGATTGAACTATTTCGGTCCCCAGAAGCTAAAGACTACTGAGCTGAAAGTCTCATTATTCCGTTTATAGTAGATCATTTTCTGGATAAGTGAACAAGAGTCTATTCTATCTAAATAGACAAGATACTCTCTGGCCAGTTATGTAACCCTTGCAATGTCTCAGTTCTTTCATCCACAATAGGGTGCTAACAACACTATTGTGTGATACCAGTGTACTGATTAAATATAAGCCATGTGAAGCATCCAGAATGCAGCAAACAACTTAATAGTGTCAGTATATGGATGGTTACTATTGATAGTTTCTTTAAGCTTTATTTGCGTTACACAAACAACTGCCAGTACTTCAAAAGGAAATCTATCTATAATGTAATTTTGTCAGGAGTATCTTTAATTATCTTAGGAAACTAAAAGCTAGTGCATAGCAGTAGAATGCATACATTTGGCTCTCACAATAAACATAGTCAATGTGAAAAACAGTTCTAACAGGCTCTCCAACCCATAAGCATCTCTTCTAGAGCCCAATACTACCTCTGAATTTCACTTGTTCACTAGTGTACAAAGCTTTCCTCTGTGACAACTTAAAAATTGCATTTCTAGGCCACCTCTAATCATGGCTACCATGCAAACAGATCACACACACATACATAAATCCTCTACATATTCAGTATGTATATGAATAGCAAATTGTATCATTTCAAATTCTACCTCTTTCACAAAACATTATTTTAATAACATTAAAGAACTTTTTTTGTAGAGTCAATTTAAAAAACAACCCTGTTTTATAGAGATATCGAAAGCCATCTTACCACATTGCTTGCACAGATACAGGTTTGAATATGTGAACTCTGTTATCTGTTGATACGCTGAATCCACTAAAAACAAACGAGAACAGACAAAAGTTCACAAATAAGGGTGAGGTATTTCAAGTTTGATTAAATAGAAGAAATATGCAGTATGTCATCTAGAAGTTAACAAGAGGGATGTGACTGAAAAGTCCCACCAGAGCAGATGAGAGGAGGACAGTCCGTCTTCTCCAGGGACGAGGGTGATCACTCCTAAACACACACACATATAAGTGACACTAAAGGGACTCAGCAAGCTGTATTCTTATTTACACACACACACACACACACACATATATGCATAAATATGAATAATAATTAAAGATGAAATATCATGAATTTGAGAGAGAGTGGGGGAACATTCAGGAGTTAGGGACAGGGTTAGAATTAGAGAAATACAGTAGTCATGTGTACAATTTTCAAAGTAACAACAAACTGATTTTATCTACTATGCAAAATTAAAGCGTTCTGATGTATATTTCTAGTTGGAAGTCTTTTGATTCATAGCAAACTTGACCTGGGTTTTATAAATTGGAGAAAACATTTCAGTCTCTTGGGAACACATTCTAAAAACACCAGGAGGTGGGGGGTGGCTGACTGGAAGGAACTGGCTCAGGAAAGGGGTTACACAGCAGGCAGACAGCTGGCAGAAGCCACAGAGGTTATTTGAAACAGAACACATCCTCCTCTGGGAGCACACTGCAAGAGCAGTCCCACATGTGCACACTAAAGGGTGAGCCAACAAACTACTACTTCTTTGTCTGGCTTCCTACCATAGTCAGCTTACAAGAACAGAGTGAGAGACCCTGGCAAGGTGTATTTTATTCTACTTTACAAAATGGCAGTTTAAAAGGCCTCACTGAGCTGCTGACATGTCAGTTCAGTTGGGCACACTGGGCCTCCCATTCAGCTGAATGAATGAGCCACTGAAACTAAGATGGAACCACACCCCTTGTCTTTCTGTAGGATGTGTGTGTGGGGGGGGGAGGGGAAGCTCTTACCCATCACCATCCAAATGAATTAGGGTATCACTCCAGAGAGGCAAGACTAAGCCCATGGTACAAGTGCTACTGCAAGACAAGAAATAATCATTGTTACTTCCTGTTATTCTACGAAGTAGTCATCATTTATTAACTTTTAACACAAGGGATAAACCTCCAAGCAATAAATTGTGTCATAAATGCGGAGAAAGTTCTATCATATTACTATTTACCCCATACATGTTCTCAGGATTACTTTAAAGGCATGGCCAGTCATTACTTATATAATTGACAAAGAAAATTTATTGACTGAACCCTTGTGTTGTCTTATAAGTAACTACTATCTTTAAAAAAAATCTAAGTAATCACTGCTGACTTGAAGTTGGTAGGTCTCAGCCCAGGAAACAAAATCCAATACAATTCTAAGGATTATATCTCTTTATTTTTTGGGGGGGGGTGTTAGTAGGCATGAACAAAGTTTCACATAACCTAGGATGACTTCAAACTCACAACAAAGCAGAGGCTGATCTTGAACTCCTGATCCTTCTACCTTCACCTCCCAAGTGCTGGGATTATAGGTGTGCATCATCGTATCTGTCCTCAAGGACTAGTTCTAATGTTAAGAACTATTGTTAGTTGCTCAAGATCTTGGGATAAATGACTTGTTCAATTCTAAGATTTACTGAACACTAGGAACATCTAGTTTTAAAAAGAAAGGAATTAAAAAATGTAACAGTAATTAATAGTCATGGATTGTTATCAAGTTAGAGAAATAAAAAAATACAATTTAAATGAAAGAGTACTTAGCCTTGTGTGTACATATGTGTTTAAGTGAGATTTTAAAAACTAAATTTTATTTTTATGTGTATTCTGCCTGCATGTATTTCTGTGTACCACTTGCATGCCTGGTGCCTGTGGGGCCAGAAGAGGGTGTTGGATCCCCTGGAACCGGAGATATAGATGGCTGTGACTGTCATGTGGGTGCTGGGAATTGAATCTGGGTCCTTAACTGCTAAGCCACCTCTCTACATTCCTGTTTTAAGAGATGCTCACTGTGTAGTGTAGTGAGATAGTCCTATTACCTAATGTCTGCAGGGGTTGTAGGAAGCAGTAGTAGACCTCTTGATCTAATTCCCATCAGCTATGAAAGTGAGGTGCTATATCGTGGTTAAATAAGGATCAGGATAAACAAATAGGCCGAATAGATGTTTATTCAGGGAGAAATAACTTACAACCTAGACAGATGAACACCAGGAAATTCAACCCGATCCTCTCCTGTCCGAGTCACGCCAGCAAGAGAGCTTTTCCCGGCTCTCCCTCCGACTTCCTTCCACAGATCACTTCCACCCATCGCTCCACCCTCCAATGGCCGTGGTCAGTGCCACAGAAGGACTATCTCACTACAATGTAGACTTGATTGGTTTTGAACTTAAAATTCTCTTGTCTCAGCCTTCTCAACCTTGAGAATACAGGCATGTGCTACCACACCTGACAAAATAATGCTGTTACTGAACTAGCAATGCTGAAATGCAGAATATAGCAGCCAACAAAAGGGTGGTACTACTGTGGTATCTTAAAATACTCTTCCAGGTTGTGGGGGTTGCAACTCAGTGGTAGTGTACTTGCCCAGCATGTGTGAAGCCCTGGGGTTAGTCTAGGAAGGAAACTGGCTCCAAGTGAATAGGGCGGGTTAATGCAGGAAGCCCTCGCCTGATGGGGATGTCTTCTGTACCTATGTTTCTCTTATTGGTTGATGAATAAAGCACTGTGACCAATGAAGCAGGATAACAGATGGGACTAGGAGACAAGAAGGATTCTGGATAGTATAGGCAGAGGGCAGTGAGATGTTAGGACACGAGAGGAGTAAGAGGTCTGGACCCTGACTCTGGTAAGATAATTAATAACTAATACAGAGCTAGCCAATAAGAAGCCCTAGTCAATGGCCAACAGTTTCATGATTAATAGTATTTGAGTGTTCATCTGGGGCTGATGTGGCTCTGGGACCAGGCTGGTGGGAAGAACGCCCACAACACTGACCTCCTGACCAAATATTGTGTGCTCTGTGACTCCACTTCCCTGTACCATTTTTTTCCCTTTCTATTATGAAGGATCTTTAAAGTTTTTAGTTTTGCGGCGTATGGTAGCATACAACTTTAATTCAGTCCTTGGGAAGCAAAGGCAGTCAAATCTGTGAATTTGAGGTCAGTCTACTCTACACAGGAAGTTCCAGGCCAGCCAGGACGACATATAAGACTCTTATCTCAAACAGAAAAAAAATCTTTTTGAAGATACATGCATGTGTATGCACATCTGTGTGTGGATATGTGCTTATGAGTGCAGATGCCTATAGAGGCCAGAGGCTTCATATCTCCTGGAGCTAGACTTGAAGGTAGTTTGTGAGGCAACCTCTGTTGATGCTGGGAACTGTGTTTGGATCCTCTGCAAAAACAATGCATATTCTGCTTATCCATCTCTTCTGCCCCTTACTGAGGCTGTGTCTTAAACTACTTCCTGCTTCTGACCATTTTCCAAAGGATCCTTCATCTGCTCCCTCCCAATAAATCTAGAGACAGTAGTACAGCAGAAAGAACACTGGCAGTGGGAGTGGGACACACTGTGCTTAAGATTATGGGTTCTTAGTCAGACAGACGCTGGAACTGGGTTCTAGCAAGGGTCTTGAACACACTAGGCAAGAACTCTCTATCTCTGGGCTACACATTAGCCTTTAACTATGCCCAATTGTTTTGTGCTTGTCTCTTCATCTATAAAGGAGGGACAAAATAATCTTTATTGCACTGTTTAATATGTCAAAATGTCTAGATTTGGTCTCTTTTGGTATTGAACTCCTCTGGCAAGTTACTTAACTCCTCTTAGCCTTGAGTTCTTCATCTTTAAATATAGTTAACCTATCATCACAGGAAGGGGTTAGAAGGAGGAAACGAAGTGGGGAGGACAATTTAAAATAAAGCTAGGCATGGTGACACAAAGTGCACGGGAGGATGAGGTAGGAGGACTGTGAACTCAAGGCCAGTCTGAGTGAGTGTGTGTTTTAGGGTTAGCTTATACAGTGGAACCTTGTTGCCCCCCCTCCCCCCAAAAAACCAGAAAACAAACAAACAGAAGGAGAAAATACAAATATTTAAGAACTCTCCTTCAATAGTTAATCAAGGATTAAGGAGACATTGTAATCTAAAACATAGGTGCACCAAACTCTGATGCATTCAATTTCACAAAAACGTGCTACTGGAATTAAAGACCTATTAAGAGTAGGTGATTTCAACTCATTTCTCCAATAGTCAGGTCATCTGGACAAAAAAATAGAGAAACATCAGAACTGCATAACATCATAACATTATACATTAAAAGGACTTAACAGTATCTACGGAAGAAAGTTCCACACAAATCCCAGCAGCCCATAGAAGCTTCTCTAAAACAGACCACATCCTGATACACAAATAAATCTTAACAAATTCAGAAAAACTGAAACGGTGTCATGTAGCCTACCTGACCATAATGAAGTAAAACTTAAATAGATAGCAAACAAATTTCCAGTAAATAAACAAACTCACGGGGAATTAATCAGCTTATTACTGAATGATCAAAGATTTAAAATCACTAAAGTGAAATAATGTTAATGCCTCACACTATAGAATTAAAGTCAAATATTAACCTAGAGTAGGTGTTCTAATGCATCCAAAAGGGTTGAGGGGTGTCAGGCAGGTAGGAAAATTCAAATGATTAAAAAGTACCAGGAATAGAAAATGAAAACTGTTGAAATTGCTACAGACCTAAGAATGTTAGTGCTTGGCTGTTCTCTATACTTAACTAGACTGTTACTTAACACTCTAGTATTCTGTGAGTTCTGGGCTAGTCAGGGATACATACCCTATTTCAAAGAAAGCAATTAACAAGAAACCCCAAATGCCAACTACCTAAACTCAAACCAAAATAGAAAACAACAACAACAAACCAAAACCAGAGGTCAGAGAGATCGCTCACTGGTTAACAGTGCTTGTTGTTCTTGCAGAGAACCTGAGTTTAGATTCCAGTATCCATGTCAGGTAGTTCATAACTGCCTGTAATTCAGCTCCAGGAGACCCAGCATAGCATTCTTCTGGCCTACATGGGCATTTGCATGCATAGAGTGTTTGTACATGCATGTGTTTAGAAACATATACTTTTTTTTTTTTTTTTTTTTTTTTTTTTTTTGAGACAAGGTCTGACTGGCTTGGAACTTACTACAGAGATTAGCCTGGACTCAAACTCATAGAGATCCACTTACCCTACATCCCAAGTGCTAGGGTTAAAGGTCTGTACCATCAAGCACTTTGGGGGATGGGGGATGTGGGTGGGGTAGGGGTAAGGTCATCAGTGCTCAAGTGTGCTCAAACACACACACACACACACACACACACACACACACACACACACACACACACACACACACCCCTCAACTAAATAAACAACAACAAAACCCCAGAGTTAGATATGGTGACACACATACATATAATTCCAGCACTCAGGAGGAGGCTGAGGCAGGAGAATTTTGAGTTCAAGGAAATCCTGGGCTTCATAGTAAGACTCTTTCTCAAGGGGAAAAAACAAAACAAAACAAAACAAACAAACAAACAAAAAAAACAGACCACAAAGCTTTGCTATTTTATAGCCTAAGCACACATAGGATATTTTGAAAAACAAGGTTACACTACATTAAGAGGATACTTTGTAATTTAAACTATAATATGGTTCTCAAGATAAATGAATTGGCTGCATTGCTACCTTGTATTTATCAAACAATCTAGCATATAATCTCACTAAATACTGTCTTTGTGGTTAGATTTCGAGACAGTTTCTCTATTTAACAGCTTTGACTGTCCTGGGAATCTGTAGATCAGGCTGGCCTTCAACTCATAGAGATCCACCTGCCCCTGCCTTCCAAGTGCTGGGACAAAAGGTGTGGGGCACCATTGCCAGGCCGAGTTAATATTGCTTTAGAACATTATGTTTTCATATTTAGATATATGAAATGATACACATTTCTTTAAAAGTAACTGAGCACTAGTATTCTGAAGTCAAAGCCTTTCTTTTACTGTTCAATAGGCTCACTCTTACAGCAGACATATAAGATTTTTATGTTAGGCTTGCTGAAAAGAAACTAGTTTTTAGCTCTTGATGTCCCAATTTGTTTCTGTGACACTAAAACTTTGTCAATTCAATGGCATCTGTCAGTATGATCCAGACAGGACCAGTGAAGCAAACTGATGTGATTTGCTGAGGATAAATTAACAGGCATTCATGGCAAGTGTCTGCCTAGCCATCTGATAGCTCACACTCTGGAGTAAGAATCTGGAGTTATTGCCTCCAGTCTCCAGGGGAAGCCTCAGCTCGTTTCCATGAAGTTTTAGTTTTTGTTCACAGGGTTTTCTTTCTTTTTCTTTTTTGTTTTGAGACAGGGTTTCTCTTTGTAGCCCTGGCTGTCCTGGAACTCACTCTGTAGACCAGGCTGGCCTCAAACTCTGCTTCCAGAGTGCAGGGACTAAAGGCATTCCTCACCACACCTAGCATCTACAAGGTTTTCAAAGAAGGGATCAGGGGGAACTAAGCAAAGGAAATATGGCCACAGCAAGCTTACTTAACTGAATTTCCTGCAATAATGTAAATACTCTGTACACATGTACTGTCCCATATGGGAGCCATTAATCATACATGATTATTAAGTATATGAAATGTGACTAGTTTCAATGAGAACTTTTTAAACATAATTATTTTAGTCTTTATTACTTTATAGCTAAAGGTGTCTAGTGGCAATTACACTAGATACTATAGGTTCAGACAGGTAAAAGTCCAAATCAGAGGTCGTAATATTCCAATGTGGAAACATAGGTAGTTTCCTACTTCCTTCTCCATCAGACAACCTTGTATGTATAGCCCTGGATGGCCTGAAACTTACTACATAAATCAGGCTGGCTTCAACTTCTTGGCATTTCTCCTGACTCTGTCTCCGGAGTGCTGGAATTACTAGAGCATGCCACTATTGTCACAAAACAAGTATTTTCTTACTAAAGGACCTGTTACTTAGGGAAATATCAGAAGTTAAGACTGCAAGGGGAAGTTTCCTAAAAGTGGTCGTCAAGCCTCTGTAAATTCAGAGCATATAACTGCCTTGACTTCCTTGATGTTGGCCTATAACCTGTAAGCTGAAATCTTTCCTCCCCAAGTTGTTTTATTTTGCGTGTTGGAGGTTAGAAGAGGACAACTTGAGGGAGTTGGTTCTCCCCACTATGTGGGTCTCAGGGACCTGAATTTGGGTTGTCAGGCTTGACAGCAAGTGCATTTACCCACTCAGCCATCTCACCAAGTTTGTTTTAGTCAGTGCTTTATCACAGCAACACAAAGCAAACCAAAACAACTATGTAAAACTAGGGTAAAGGCTGGTTTTGGAAACTATCTAGTGATACTGGGATCTTCCTGTCTCTCTCTACAAAAGCAAGACAATTAGACTCACTGTTATCTATAACCCTTCCTCCAAACCCAGGGCTTTCTGCTTGCTAGCAATTCCTCTGCAAACCTCCTACCCCCCTTTTTGGTGGACAAATTCCCCCAGGCCTGGGTCACACCCCTATCAACTGCACAGCTCCATTCTAGTCCTGAATCAGGAAGTCATGGTTTGAGACATCTGGCAGGATTTCCTGAGGCGTATTATCTAGAGTGTAAAGATCTGCTTAGCAGCCACATTCCACAGTCTTCCCAAAGGTTCCTCAGAAAAAGTAGGGAACAGAAGAGAAAAGCCTCAAGCATTAAGTATACACTCTCTCCCCAAAATAACAACAACAACAACAACAAAAACCGAGATTATTTTAGAGATATCTTTAATTATGGGAAGCAAAGTATACATGAGTTTTTGAACCCAGGACCATTGGTACATTACCAAGAAAGGCAAGTACCCTAGGATTACCAAAGTAGAAAATTACTGTGGAAAGAACAGAGTAACAGGAAAGAGCACCCCCCCAGATATATTTCCATTTGCTTAATTATTATCATTAGTACTTAGCAATGACAGAAGGGTAAGGAATAATAGTAAATTAGAAATAGTCAAAGACATTTAACAAGTGTGTTTGTCTCTGAAGACCATGGCCAAGACTTACTTTCTAGTTTTATGCTTTTGTGTGTCTATGTTTATGTATATGTGTTCATATGTTTATGAGGTGCATGTGGAGGTCAGATGTCAACTTTGGGTATCTTCCTCAGTTGCTCTTCACCTTAGAGATACAGTTTCTTACTGAACTCGGTTCTCACAGATGTGGCGAGGTTGGCTCCCTGGCTGGCCATTTGCCAGCCAGCAACAGGGATTACCCTAGTTCCATGTCTTCAGTGCTGGGACTATAGGCACAAGATGCTGTGCCTAGGTTTTTTTTTTTTTTTTACCAATGCTAGGGAATGAACTCAAGTAGTTGAGCTTGCACGGCAAATATTTTACCAACTAAACCATCTCCTCAGACTGTCATGAATTACTTTTAACTTATAGCTGTCATTACCACATATTCACTATAAAAGATAATGGGTTTCATTGTGACACTTTCATTATACATGTCAATCATTTCATAAACATATATATTGTGGTGGTTTGAATAAGAATGGCTTCCCCAGACATCATCAGGAAGTGGCACTACATGAGAAGGGTTAGGAGTGGGTGTAGGTTTGTTGGAGAAAGTGTATCAGTGGGGGTGGGGTTTAAGGCTTTAAAAGCCCAAGTCATGCTTATTGGCTCTCTTTCCTGCTGCCTGTGGATCTAGTTATAGAACAGAACTCTCAGCTACTTCTCCAGCACCACGTCTGCCTATGTGCTGCCATGCTTCCCGTCATGATGACAATAGACTAAATCTCTGAAACTGTAAGGAAGCCTCTCTCTCTCTCTCTTTTTTTTTTTTTAAATAAGAGTTGCTGTGGTCATGATGTCTCTTCTCAGCAATACAACAGTGACTAAGGCATATATCACACTGTTAGTCCCAGCACTTAGGAGGCACAGGCAGGCTGATTTCTGAGTTCAAGGCCAGCCTGGTCTTCATAGAAAGATCATATCTCAAAAAGATAAAACAACACACATGCCTCCTGCCTCCCACCTTGACCTTCTTGTCCCACTTGAATTTCAGAAGCATAATTACACAAGACATTTTTTGTAATAGCTCAAATAATAACTACACTAGGTCATTTGAAGGTAGTTTTCATGCTCTTCCCCCATTTTTTATGGTACCATACCTGTCATTAGAAGAAAAATCCATTCCCAGGACAATGCTTTCTTCAGTGTCTTGTCTACCATTAGTTGAAACAACTACCATATAGCGTGTTCGATTTTGGTAAGTACTTTCCAGTCTTACAGCCTGAGGTCAACAGATAACAAAGAAACAAGGAATTTAGAGACATTTTTAATCTTTTATCTTTTTTTTTTTTTTTTTTTTTTTTTTTTTAACCAACATCTCATAGCATGCTACCAGGGCAAAAGAGGTGATAATTGGGAGACCTAAATTCAAAATTCAACTCATATGTTAACTATAATATACTGAATCAATGTGAGAGAGATATAGTAATACCTATGTTGTTTTAAGAATCATAACTGGTATATGAACCACATTTAAGACAAGCCCCATGCCCAGTAGTAAATGGTCAGCATAAAATGAAATCAATGGTATTTTTGTAGATTACTTTTTTTTTGGGGGGGGAGTCTCATTTTTTTTTAACTTAACCTTACCAGTCTTTTGCTTGTATTATGGTTTCTGATTCTGATTTTGGTTTTTCATTGTGTGTGTGTCTGTGTTTCTTGTGTATTTTCATTGTCTTTTCCCTTCCTTCCTTCCTTCCTTCCTTCCTTCCTTCCTTCCTTCCTTCCTTCCTTCTTGTTTTGAGACAGAGTTTCTCTGTAGCTTTGGAGAGTGTCCTAGAACTCGCTCTGTAGACCAGGCTGGCCTCTCTCTGCCTGCCTCCACCTCCTGATTGCTGGGATTCAAGGTGTGTACCACTACTGCCTGGCCCTGATTTGTTTAAAGAGAGATAAAGAAGGTGTGCAGTTAGATGGGTGGAGATGAGGGAGAGGAAACTGCTCAGAATATATTGTGTGAAAAAATTATTTTCAGTAAAAAAAATAAAATGAACATTATATATAGGATAAGTACATGTCATTATAAATATACATTAAGTTGGTCAAGCTCAAAATTCTATAGATGTGTATTTTATTGAAATATATAGTATTCATATATTATAAAGTATATATATATAATTCTGTATAACAATATATATTGTATGTATTTATCTGTCAAACTCAAAGAGATCCACTAGCCTTTGCCTCCTGAGTGCTGGGATTACTGTAATATGAAGCCAACTATTAGCAAAATCATTTCCAGGCAACATTCATTTGAAATATTTGCTATACATACACTGCACATTCAACGGCAGCCACAGTGCTGGGAAATCAATGGTAGAAGATGGAGACATGCTCTCTCCCCTTATGAAATGTACACACTACTCTTACTGTCCCAAAAGAAAACTAATTAAATTAGATAAAGATAGTCTCATGCAGCTCAGGCTGGCTTCTAACTCCTAGTCAAGGATAATCCTTAACTGACCCTTCTGCCTCCACCTCACAAGGGATAGGATTATAGGTATCCACCGCCACATTCAGTTTCTGCAGTGCTGGAGATGGGACCTAGGGCTTCAAGGATTCTGAGTAAGCACTCCACCAATTAAGTATAAGCTTAGCTTTATGTTTCTGTTCTGATACTACTAAGAAAAGCTAGGGAAGTAAAAACAGCAGATGTGGCTATGTTAAAGCTTATTTGTTAGAACCAACATAATCAGAATGTAATACCATCATTCTGATGCTAAACACACAAGTTGTACTGTTCACTCATGTTCACTTATGAGACACTAAGAGGCACTAACATTTAAATGAGCCACAGTCTAGCGTTAGTCAACTGAGGTTGAGGAGGAACATTAAACACACAAAGCTATGGAAAACAGTAAATACACATGAGGTAGACTGGCAGGCAGTTCTGGATTTCCATATAGAAACATTCAAAACACACATGTTATTTTAAAATTACATTTACTTTCTGTGTGTTGAGAGGTGCAGAAGTCAGTTCTCTCTTTCCACCATATGGGTCCTGGGAATAGAACTCATGTTGCCAGACTCAGTGCAAAGTGCCTTAACCTTAATGACCAAATTATCTCACTGGCCCCATAAATGTTATTTTAACCAGACGAGGTGTTGCATGTAAAATCATATTTAAAAAATTTAATTAATTGTATGCACATGAGTGATGTGTATATACCATGGTGCACATATGGAGGTCCGAAGACAGACAGCCTGTAGGAGATGGTTCTCTCCTTCCACCATGCAGGGCCTGGGATCAAACTCAAATCATCAGGCTTAGCAGTTGGCCTTAAAACTTGCTATGAAGCCTGGGAAGAGAATTACCTTGAACTTCTGATTCTCCCCAGTGCAAGGATTACTGGAAAGTGCCTGGTTTATACAGCACTGAAGTTGGAACCCAGGGCATCATATTTAGGTAAGCACATCCCAAGCCCCAGAACTTTATAAACAAGATCTCAGATTTTAGATTTTACTTCACGTTTAAAAGTTGAGCATGCCTTGACAATCTTTAAACTAAACGTTCAATTCCTAAAATGTGTTAGAAACACCTTTTCCTGCAAATACAAATAGTGTGGAAACAGCTGAACTGTGATTCTGACAAATTAAAAAAAAATGAATCATTTTTCTTTAGTTCTATGTTGTGTAGCATATATGTGTACACTGTATTTATGTGTGTATGTGTGTGTGTATGCGCGCGCGCGCGCACACACACACACACTGTTTATGTGGAGGGCCAGAGCTCAATACTGGGTGTTTTCTTTAGTTATTCTGCCATATTTTCTGAGACAAACCTTGAGCTCACCAATTTGGCTAGACTGGATGGCCAGCAAGCCCCAGGGATCCCCTGCCTTTGCTTCTCCAGTGACTAGATTATAGGTATGCACTATTAACCCCAGCCTTTTTATCTCCTGGCCTCAGGGTTGTACAATAAGCACTACACCAACTAAGCCATCTCTTTAGCTTTCTATGTCTGATGGTTCTTATTCCAACTACTGGCAACTGACTGTCTAGGTCAAGGCTGATGAAAAGAAAAAAAGTCTTCCTAAATACAGTCTGTAACACATGATATCTGGCCCAAGACATTTTGGTAAGTGATATTCAGTACAAACACTTCCTGTCTTTTTAATATTTAAATTATAATATCAAGAGCTCATCATTTAAAGAATCATCTTAAAGCTCAGTCCAATTTAGATGTTGAACCTAAGTAGAGCATTTCACAGGTCCTACCTGGCACAAGAGCTTTTCTCATCCCCATCATCTAATAGCCAGAAACAGTTTTCTTGAAGCATACATCCCACCTTTGTTTTAAATTTATTTTCATTACAAGTCTAAACCATGTCTCTGCATGCAGTATTTATCCTCAGGGAAGCCACATTATAAAGACGCAATGTCTAGACAAGCAGCTCACCCAATCCATCAGAAAGGTTTCAAAAGTATGTAAGTATTAAATTCTAGCCAAAAGAACAAAGTAAAATCAGTAGCTAAGATTAAAATAGACTTTAGATATGACATTAATGAATCAAAGAACACTGTCTTAAAGAGTGTGAGGAAGTGTCTAGATGAAAAGGAATACAAGTTTTAAAAAAATCTATAAATTACATTCTGTAGAATCACTGAAAACCATGATCAAGGCTAAAGATAAGGCTCAGTGGAAGGGCACTTGTCTAGCAAGCACTTAATACCCTAGATCTGATCCCCAGCACAGTCAATACCTCCTTGCCAAATTCATGATTAATTTATTGACATGGCAAGAGGATATCCATGAAAACAGGTAAAAAGACATTATGCATCGTACTTTTATAGAACAACAAAACAAAATCAGGCAGGGGTGTGTTATTTTACTCAACCGCCTCCCTACCTCCACCCCATGCATACATCAAGGCAGAATGGAAAGTTGTTTGTTCAAATAGCCGGGAATGGGTTTTCTCAGAGTATGGAATATGGCGACTTCATCTTCATTCCTTTTTAAATTATCAGATTTGGAAAATAAAAGCAAACCCCACACAAGGCAATTTAAAAAACAAAACAAAACTCATTTTCATTGTTGAAAAATTTAATATATTATAAAACTTAAACCAAAAAAATTTTTTTCTTGAACTATCTGGTCAAGTTTTTAGCGTTGCAAAAACTTCATTGAAGCTGGACAGTAGTGACACATGCCTTTAATCCCAGCACTTGGGAAGCAAAAAGCATGTGGATCTCTGGGAGTTCGAGGCCAGCCTGATGTACAGAGCAAGTTCCAGCACAACCTCCAAAGCAATACAGAGAAACCCTGTCACAAAAAAAAAAAAAAAAAAAAAAAAAAAACCCAAAAACCAAAACCCTTCATTGAAGCTGCTGTAAAAATTCTGAAAATCATTAATTTGTCATTGGGTTTTAAGTAGTCCTTTGATAATTCCAGAACAGTGTTATAAAATCATTTCCTTATTTAACAACTAGAAGCATCTTAAATACTGAGGTTAACATTTAATCCCAGCACTCAGGAGGCAGAGGCAGGCAGATCCCTGCGATTTTGGGGCCAGACTGGCCTACAGGGTGAGTTCTAGGACAATCAGGGATACACAGTGAAACCCTGTCTTGAAAAGGAAAAAAAAAAAAAAAAAAAAAAAAAAAAAAAAGGCAGAACTTTCAGTTGATTATCCAACTTTTACTGTTATGTACAAGTCCTGAGATAAGAGTTTTAGCATTCCAAATTTAACTCCAAACAAAGGCCTTTGCTTTGGGTCTACAAATGCCCTTTTAGTCAGAAAGTGCTAATTTATCCAAAGTCACACAATGCATTTACTCATTTTCCTGCAGATGACTCTCAATAATCTGAAACATAATGACTATGTGTTTGTAACAATTCAAAATAACTAAAATGGCTTGTTATTTTAATTATTCGGAGGCATGCGTTAAAATTTTTTGAACTTACGTTCTATAAATGTAATATAGACACAAGACTCTGTCAAAAATCTAAAAAGTTGAAGCTGCATATTTTAGTAGGAAAAGAGGCTTTAATTCTCAACTCTGTCTTACTAACTTTATCCTCCATTCTTTCAAGTTCATGTGGGAGATTATTCATATTTATGAGTCCAAGCTAAACTGCAAAAGGTTTATTAATGAGAAAAAGATGAAAACCCAGGATGATATCTTTAGCTTCAATTTCCCAGACTACACTATGTTCAAAAGCTTTCAGCAAATATCCAGCCTGTATAAGTGACTATGATCAGAGTGTGATCAGCATCTTTTGGAAACTTATTAAAAATATGATAACTATTTCCTCCCCACCAACCAAATTCTGTCAGCGAAGCCCAGAAATGGTGGTTGAAAGCAGCTCTTGATTCTGATATACCCTAAAGTCTTGGAGCCACTGCTTTAGAGTATTAATGCATAAGAATGATGCTCCATGCCCTACAGCAGCTGGCTTTTAAAAGAATCATTTGAGAAAATTTCTAAAAAATGCAGACGGCCAGAAAGATAACTCAGCAGGTTAAACTGGTTGGTAGACAAACCCAATGATCTGAGTCTGATCCTTGGATTGTAGTGTGGAAGGAGAAAACCAACCCCTGAAAGTCTTCCCTGACCTCCACGCTACATTATGGCATAAGTGCCCTACTCACTCCCTCATCCATACGTACAAATATGCATATGCATACATGTAAATATGTAAATACTTTTTAAAATGCAGGCAATGATGGGAAGATGGCACAGCAGGTAAAATCTCAGCGAGAGACCTTATTTTAGGTAGAGAAGACACCTAACGTCAACCTACTGCCTACACACACAGTGAATGTACTTGCACACATGTGTGTTCCACACATAGATTAAAAGTTTTAAGAAAAAGAATGGCCAGGTAATAGTGATACACGCCTTTAATCCCAGAATTTAAGAGGAAGAGGCAGGTGGATCTCTGTGAGTTTGAGGCCTGCCTGGTCTACAGAATGAGTTTCAGGACAGAAGAAAAACAACAACAAAACAAAACAAACACACAAACAAAAAAAAAAAAAAAAGAAAAAGAAAAAGTGTGCATAATTCAATTAATAAATGAACTAAGGTAGAAAGTGATTTAAAAAAGGAGAGTTGCCGGGCGTTGGTGGTATACACCTTTAATCCCAGCACTCAGGAGGCAGAGGCAGGCGGATCTCTGTGAATTCGAGGCCAGCCTGGTCTACAGAGTGAGTTCCAGGACAGGCTCCAAAACAATACAGAGAAACCCTGCCTCAAAAAACCAAAAATTAAATAAATAACATTAAAAAAATAAAAATGGAGTTATTGAGGAAGATGATACCTAACATTAATCTCTGGCTTCTACATGTATATGTACATGTGTATACACACACACACACACACACACACACACACACGCACACACACGAAACACAGAGTTAGCATTTGAGAGAAAAGTTAAAAAATTTAAAAAGTAAATGATGAATTAGTGATTACCAGAGAGTTCAGAAGCTTGATCAACTTTCCACAGTTAATCTCACACTTTACTCATGATCTCTCTTCTTGGACAGAAAGTAGAAGCCAGCTACAGTGGCTTAGTCAGCTTCCAAGAGGGTCTGGTAACCACACACTTGGGTAACTTCAATAACTGCCTAGCGTACTTCCTTCTGTTTATTCTGTTTTAGCTTCTAGAGACTCTTCCTCAGATACTATAGCAGGCTCATGTTATTTCTTGGCTCAAAAAACTTGTATTTCACAACAGCTTCATGAAGAAGGAGTGGTACTGACTGGCTTTATAGTAATCTGGGGGATCAAATATAAATATGAAACAAGCCACATGGATACTAAACGAGTAGAACCACATGCTCATCTTATTTCATTTTTTTCATCCCCCACCTCCACCCCGAGACAGAGTCTTAGATTGTCCTGGAACTTGTTATGTGGACCAGACTGGACTTGAACTCACAGTGATCCAACTGCTAGTCTCCCATGTGTGGGATTAACAGTGTGTGCCATTATGCCTAGGTGTTGTTTGTCTTTGAGACAGTGTCTTGATGGTGTATCATTCCATTTAGACTGGGCTGGCCTTCAACTTGAAGTAGTACTCTTATCTTAACCTGGTATGTACCACTATGCTAGGTAATCATTCCATTTTGGCTTTCCTATTTTTATTAGAGTCAGAAAAGTAACTATGTAAGAAAGACATATGACTTCCAAGTGTTCAGAAGACAACAGGTATGCAGATTACAGCAAACCAGGAACCCAGCAGGATATCCACATGCCCATCGTTATCCATGTGAGGATAAAATCTTGGCACTGCTAGAAGTTCAATTGTCTGAAGACCCAAATTTAGACTTTATATGTAATATAGTTTTAAAATTCTAGATTGCATAAAAAACAAAACAAAAACCAAACAGCTGTGTGTTTTGAAGAGTATTTATCTCTAGTCTGTGAATTGCTCATTTGAGGTGTCTAGATTAGAGCATTATGTCCTTACTGCCTGCCTCACTTGTAAAGTAGCATTTCATTCAGCCTTCTCCTCCTATTAATTAATTAATTAATTTGAGACAAGGTCTCTTTATGTAGTTCTGATTGTCCTGAAACTCAATTAGTAGAATAAGGTGCCCTTGAACTCTGGCTCCTGAGTGCTGGGATTAAAGGCATGCAGCTACCACACTTGGTCTCCATTTCATACTTCTTAATCCTATCAAGGAATGAGGAAAAAGGCAAAGACAGCCTAAGGTAACTTGTCCAGCATCACATGTTAGCAAGAACCTAAGCCCTGGTCTCTTGATTCTGAGGTCAGTAACAATTGCTAACTATTTCAATCACATCTCGTCCCTACTTTATGTGCTTTTGCTTAAGCTATGTTCTTATTTAGGATGAATTCTGTCTGCTTACTCTCATCATCTTTTAAGATATTCTCAAGTTCCGCTGTCTAGCATAAAACCTTCCTCAACCAGGTCAAATGTCCAAATTTTCTTTCCTTTTTCTGAACTTCAATCTTTATGGATGTTATGGATAGTAACTTAAAAACCAGCCCTTAACAACTATCTTGAGACATCAAAGCATTTTATATCACTTTCTATTATGTTTTACAAGAATTAAGTTTTCAGCTGGATAGAAATAGGTCATTCTTCATTTCTCTTCCACCTAGTTCTTGGTACTGTGTTTTAACAAAAATGTACTTTAATATTGGCTATTTTAGGCAGCCTTCTGAGGAAGACAATTATGATAATGCCATGAACTTACCAGTCTTATATTGTCTTCTGGGCGTAATAATATGAACATTGCTTGAAGATGTTGTTGGAGATCACCTGGTGAAATGTACAAAGCAAAGGATGATTAGTCCCCATTCAAAAATCAATAGAGAGGATTCCTTCTACCATAGTGGCTTGTGAAGTTATGATTTACTGAAAGAGTTAATTTTTTTCTTTACATTTTAATTTGTTTTAGTGTAAGTACATGCCCATTTGCTCATGCATCATGGCACTTTCCATGGAGGTTGGAGGACAACTTGTGGGAATTGGTTCTCTTTCCAGTATGTGGTGCCAGAGATTGAACTCGGTAGTCATGCTTAGCAACAAGCACCTTTACCCATAAAACCATCTCATCAATTTTTGTTGTTGATTAGGACTAGGTCTCACTGTAATCTCTGGCTGATCTTAAACTCAGTATGTAGGTATGGCTTCCAACTTATGGACATCTCTCTGCTTCTGGAGTGCTGGAATTAAAGGGGTGAGCCATCATGCCCAGCTCCATCTCATATTTGTATCATGTGTATTTGTATATGTGAGTGCAGGTGCTCAATGAGGTCAGAAGAAGGTGCTAGAGTTTGTCATGGGCCAACTGATGTGAGTGCTGGGATCAAACTTTGGGTCCTCTATTGTAAGAGAAGTACATGCTTTTAGTCACTAAGTCATCTGACCAGGCCCCTGAGTCTCTTAATTATACACGGAAATCAGTTAAGATTATTGGTTTGATTTTTTTAAATAGTAAGAGACTAGTAGGCTGCGTTTTTTATATTTACTTTCAGTTTGTAGTATGTTAAATTTGTATTTGTTCTAGGGAAGGCATATTTGAGAAATGATCTCTATTTCATACAATGGTGGAAGTGGATGAGCAGTCTGTTAGTAAGTATGTTGGTGAAGCCCCATAAAGGGTAGTAATAGAAGTGTTTGAAGAATTACATGAAGAATTATTCTTAAGTTTTGAATGGCATACGTAATTTCTTCTTCTGTGATAATAATATTGAGATGCATCTAACTTAAATACTGTTAGAGTCCCTTTATTTTCAATAGTTTAAAGTAGTTAGTGGATGAGAGTATGTGTTAAATGGAACATATTAGGAATAGTTATTCTCCTGAACATATTAGATGCTTTAACATGACCAACTATTATTTGAAATCTCATTTATTTCTACATATTTTATAAAACTAAACTAAATTTTTGTAGTAAGATTTAAGATATTAGCACTTAAGAGAGGTAGACAGATATCTGAGTTCAAGGCCAGCCTCGTCTACAGAGCAAGTTCCAGCATAGCCAGGGCTACCCAGAGAAACACTGTTTCAAAGGAGAAAAAAAAAAAATGGTTTAAGATACTAAGGATGATGCTAGGAATTGTGATACATGTCTTTAATCCCAGCACTTAGGAAGCTGAGGCTGGTGACCTCTGAGTTCAAGGCCAGCCTGGGCTATGTGATGAGATCCTGTCTGAAACAACAACAAATCAAAAACAAAAGAGACTAAAGATGATAAAAGAAAACAAACAAACAAACAAAAAACCCCTGTGGAAACTCATACTTTTTAAGCTTGTGGGGAGTGAGTGTGAGTGTGTGTGTATATGTATGTATGTGTATGTGTGTGTGTGTGTGTATACATATACATATACATATATATATAAATAATAGGAATTTGAACACAGATATATTATATTGGTGGACAATGATTCCCACAGAAGACATGGGGTATTAAGTGAAAATCACCAGTACTAGTTATAGGTTCCCTCTCTAAGGTTATTATTAGTTAGAGAGGCTACACAGGCATCCACTGAAATACAGGCAATTGTCATTACTTTTAGTTGCCCACCAGAACTAGATGGTATGCTCCTATAGCTGAAGACACAATGCACTTTGGTTGCAGGACACAGAGAAATAAAGCTGGAATTGACCTGAAAGTTCTTCCCCTCTGACCAACTTTCAGAAGGTTCTATGCAGGCCACTGTGGGGAGAAAAGACACAGCCAACCCTGCATGCTGTAATACTGAGCTCTCAGACAAGATGTGCCAACTGCTTTTAGATTGGATCTGAGGCTTGTTCCACAAGAAAGAATTTAGGCTTGGTACTGTAAACCTGGTCAAAAGTCTAAGGTTCTAGAGATCATAGGCTCTGGGGAAGAACCTCTTACTACTGTTTTCTTAAACATGTTGTTGAACTAACTACTTTTTAAATATTTATGCTTATACCCTGCCCTCAAGCTTGGTCAGAGAAACTTCTCTCTGCAGTGGTCAACAGTTAGTGCACACTGCTAACTTGTCAAGGTGCTCAGAGTGTCTGTTGAGGGCTCATCCCTAAATAGGACACCTATCTACCTCTCACACCCCAACAAAAATTCAGGAAAATTGCAGAAGGGAAGAAAGAATGAAAGAACTAGAGGATAGGAAGGAATGCGAAATGCTGGGCACCACACCCTGGAACTCACTGCAGCTATGGTTACCAGCACAAGATCAAGTCAAACAAGATCAGTAAACATTCTAGCAGGCAGCACTAAATGGACTTAGTGGGTTATTAACAAAAAAGGCAAAGGCCATGAAAGGGAGATGGGCATGTGCTAGAGGTGCCCGAGGAAGTGGGAGGGGGAGCTGGAGGTTCCTGAGGGAGTAGGAGAGGGAGTTGCAGATACATACAATCAAGACTGTTTGCATTATTAAACTGTCAAAGAATAACTAAAACTAAGTCTATTAAAAAAAAAAAAAAGAGGGGCTGTAGAGATGGCTCAGCAGTTAAGAATACTTGCTACTCTCTCCCACAGGACCTGGATTTGATTCTCACTACTCACAACTACCAGCTTCAGGGGATTTGATGCTGCTGGCCCCCTCAAACACCTGAAATCATGTGCACATACCCACACACAGACACACACCAATACATATTTAAAAAACAAAGAGAGCACAATAAAAAAAGATTTAAGACAGGTTTTTTTTTTTTTTTTTTCATTTCCCTATTCTGTACTAGGAAATCTGAGGATTTGGTTAACAGGAGACAGATAATATACTGTCACAAATGATGACAATCTAAGAACCCAAAGCTTTATTTCTACCCACCTATGGCACTTTTTAAAGTGTTTTAAGATGTCTGTTACAGCCACATAATCATAGATGCCTTGAAACCTACATATATAATTTTCTTTGTGTTCACTTCATAGCTTTTAAGTATAACATTAGCTGTGCAAGAAGCAATGTGAAGTAGGAAGAAAATGTAAGTAGGCGTGTTTACAAGGTTGACAAGTCTGGAAACATTTTCTCATTTTTCCCCATTTTTCTCTCATTTTTTTTGCTTTCCTTTCCATTTCACTGCTTGCTTCTGGATAATTCTAGTGTAATAGAATCCTTTAACTTTCAAAGATAAAAAGAAGATCCATTCTACTACGTTTCAAGCCCAGAGATACAACCTGAAGAAGCAGGATGAGTTCCCAGGTATAAACCTAAGGGAAATGAAAATATATGTATAGATGAAAACTCATAAGAGAGATCAAATTTATTATTCATAATAGTCTACAATTTCAGCACTTGGGAGGAAGAGGCAGAGTTAAAGGTTAGCCTTGACTACATGTCAGCTTGAAGCCAGCTTGGGTTGCATAAGACCTTGCCTTAAAAGAAAGAAAGAAACAAGTACCCTTCCCCCTAAAAAAATAAAAAAATTAAAAAAACAAAACAAAACAAAAACCCCTTCCAGTTTATACCAGGTATGGTAGCAAACACCTGCCATCTCAATGCACAAGAAGCTGAGGCAGGAAGATCACTGTGAATCTGAGGCCATCCTAGGTTACAAAACCTTTAAAAAAACACACACACACACAATAAACAACTAAGATCAGGGCCGGTGGTACACAAAAGCAGAATAGTGTTTGCCTTACATGAAATAAGGCCCCTGGGTTCCATCCTTAGCACAGTGATGCAGCAGACACTACCACAAACTTAAGTTCCTCTTTAAGACCATGAGAAGTAAGCCCAGAAAAGACTGAGGATGCAGAATCTCTGGAGAACCTTGAATAGCAGGCCAAATCCCTCAAGGCACTAGTGGTGCAAAGATCCAGCTGGGTTATCAGGGTTAGATAAAACCCAGGACTCTTCCTTCTGCTGTGAGGCCTCTTCTCTGAGCTGAGTATCTAGAAGCTAAGTGTCCTTACTTGTGAAAGGTTTTGCTATAAGTAAGCAGGGTATTATTTCCTACAGAGAGACTCATGTTTACAGAGGCTAACAGGCAGTATACCTCAAAAGTCCTTCCTTTATTTTATGCCCTTTGCATGCATTTCACCAACAGTAGCTAAACTGCACATCAAGTTTGATTAAAGAATTTTCAATATTTTCCTTTTAAAGATACAGATGTTTACTAATATAATTTTTAAGTTGTCAAATAGTATTTTAACATTTTAAATGCCTAGAATAAAAAATTTAGCCAGATTTAAGAAATGTGCATAGGACTATACCATCAGACATTATAAGCCCTTGATGTATGCTATTCTGCTTAGCAAGACAGTTTATGTGAAGGTTTGGATTTATATATTGCCTCATCTGTCTAGTATGGATCACAAATTAATTCCCAGCAGCCTGTGTTAAACCTGTTTTTTCTTTTTACCTAAGTGTACAATGTCAAGTAGAAATACATGAATGTGAAAATTTCATTAAAAAAAAAAAAGTCACCCAGGGTCAGGCAGGAGCTTGAGAAGCAACTAAGCCTACTTACTATTACATGGCAGGGGGGTAATTCACCCAAAATATTAGTCAGACTAGTTGGATTTAGAACAATAGTTTGTCTTCTTTTTGCTGTCATAAACATCCACACCCAACAGAAATAAATAGCTTAGCTTGGATTATTTCCTTTGAGCATTCACACTTTTTGGCAAAACTCTCACTCCCACCTATGGTGAAGGTACTGATGAGCAAGCATTGCCAAAGTAAACCCAAGCTAATTTTCACATTTTCTCTCCTGTACTTAAAAAAAAAAAAAAAAAGCCACTGCCAGAGGGTTTTGGCAGGAAGTTATTAAATGGCCTAGGGAAACTAGTTATAACTGTGAACTGTTACATTTCTAATGAGATGAAAGCCCAAACAAGAAGTAGTGCAGCCTCTAAAGTAGCTGAGATTATTTTGATTAGCGCTAAGCTCAACTACTGACTCAACAGGATCAAGTATTTCTTGCTTTCACCTCTGATCTATATGTTCAAGTTCCCTTCCTTGTAATTTCTTCCTCTCTTGGAGGTCACAAGTCAACAAAGTAAAGGTAAAAGGTGTGTATGGTTAGCTTTGTCACTTGGCCCAGCCAGAGTCACCTGGAAAGAGAGTCAATGAGGGTCTGTCTATATAGTGTGGTCAGGGATTGTCATAATTAAGTTAACTGATGGGGTAAGACTCAGCCCTCTTTGGGTGTCACCATTCCCTAGGCAGAGTGGTCCTAAACTGAGTAAGAGCAGAGAAATGGAGCTGAGCACAAGCGAGCAAGAACGTGAACATGTATGCATTCATTTCTCTCTGCTCTTGACTGAGGATGTGCTGTGACAACCGTCTGAATCCTGCCTTGACTTCCCTGTAATAATGGACAATACTCTGGAATTATGAACTAAAACAGACTCTTCCTCCCGAGAATTGCTTTTTTTTTGTCTAGATATCATATCCTACAACAAAAAGGAAACTAGAGCATGTATGTGCAGTTTTACCTGCATGCTTGTTGCGTCTGTGGCTGATTCTTGGTGTAGACGAGCCATTCCCCCGTGGTAGAAAAAGGGCAGCACCTTTGACAGTTAAAAAGCTCTCGCTGATGCTGTAAGGAAAAAGTTATGAGAAACATTACTTAAGGATGGAAAGTAAATAGGATGGAGACCCAGTTTACAATTTCTTTTTCTTCCCTATCCAAAGTTCCAATTTCACAGGGTGAAACACACCTTTAATCCTAGCATTGGGGAGGTAGACACAGGCATCTGATCTCTGTGAGCTAAAGGCTGGCCAGCCTGGGCTACAAAGCAAGTTCCATGCCAATCGGGACTATGTGGTTATTTACTCTTCTATAAAATGAGGTTATGAACCTAGGTATCTTGGTTCACAGAAGTAACTGCCATTCCCCCCAAACAGGGTTTCTCTGTGTAGCCCTAGCTGTTTAGAACTCACTCTGTAGACCAGGCAGGTCCTGAACTCAGAAATCTGCCTCCCTTTGTGTCCCGAGTGCTGGGATTAAAGTTGTGTGGCACCGCTGCCCAGTAGAAGTTCTTAATAAATATTAATAATTAGTAGTGATTATCCGTGTTAATATTTCAATGGTGTTCTGACATGAATGCAAAATGTTCCCTGTTTATCTAAAGCCTCATATATGCTTGGTAATTACTTCATCACTGATCTATACCTACTGCCTAGAAATGCTTCAATAATTATTTATAACAGAGCCAAAGCTTGGAAGAACACTCATTTTAAACACACACACACACACACACACACACACACACACACACACACACACACACCATTCTCAAAATTGTATCTTTATTAAGAATAACAGAGGTTACCAAAACCTGCAAATGATAATACGGAGGGGGTACGAAAAGGGGATGATGGCTGGTGGGTACAGGAGTCTAGTTGGATAGGACAAACAACTTCTAATGTTTATTGCACAGTAGGATAACTATGCCTGATCACAAGTGTATACTTCAAATTAGCTACAAGATTTTGAAGGTTCCTAATACAAAGGAAATAATAAATGTCTGAGGTGATGAATGTGACCTATGAGCACCCAGACCTATAACTGAACACTATATACACCAGTTAAGAGCACTTGTTGCTCTTTCAGAGGGGCTCAGGCCAAATTCCCAGTACCCATATGGTAGCTCAAAATCATTCAGTTCTAGAGGATTCAACAAGCAAACACAAGGTGCATATACATGTATATATGCAAAACATTCATACATATAAAGTAAAAAAATCTAAAGAAATAAACTGTATATAGGTATCAAATTATTACATAAATATACATACTATTTCATAAATATTTACAACAGCTGTGTGTAAATTAAAAATAAAAAACACTAAAATTGCACTCTCATTAAGTAGTACCCCCACATGCACTGAAGAGGACTAGCACTGGGGCAGTGTGCTTTATTTTCTGGAGTAGACCCCATGTTAACATCATTTGTGTGGGAGGCTGATAACATAAGTGGAGAATTATTGCTTAGAACAGAAAATAGTCAAAATTATAATTACAAGTGGATATCCATAGAAAACATCAAAATTTCTTTCATAATAATGGACTTAACAAGCCTTTCATTATTACCCACAGAAGCTAAAAAGGGTAGAATGCTAGAACTTTTAAGTCACTCATAGAAAAGTTTAGAAACATGTCTGGGGACACAGTTTACAGGTAAAGCACTTGCCTAGCATGTGCAAAGATCCTAGCTTAACCCCCTCCAATACTGTAAAACCAAACCAAACATAGTTAGAAACAACAAAGAACCTCTCTAAACCTTTCCGTGGTTCTGGGGAACCAAACCCAGAACCTCACACAACTAGGCAAGAGCTATACTATGGAGCTAAGCCCAGCGTCCCTCTCCCCCCCCAACTCTTAAGTACTTCCTCATGACTAATCCCTAGATTCTTCTACACAGTTGTTTGAGATAAATGCAGAACAGTCAAGTCAGCCTTTGTATCTTTTTACCTCCCCCAAATATATCTCTAATCTATCTGCAAATCCTATGGGTTGTACTCTCAAACCCACCTTGAATCTGTCTACCCACTCCCATCATCATGACTCTGGTCCATAATATTGCCATTTCCTTCTTTCGCTGTTGTTTGCTTGGACCTTTAAAGAAGTATTTTAGCTGGGTGGTGGTGGTGCACACCTTTAATACCAGCACTCAGGAGGCAGAGGAAGGTGGATCTAAATTCAAGGCTAGCCTGATCTACAGAGCTAGTTCTAGGCCAGCCAGGGCTACAGAGAGAAACCCTTCCTCAAAAAACCAACCAACCAAAAACAAGAAACAACCCCTCCCCCAAAATAACCCCAAACATACACAAAAGTATTTTTACTGAGAAATTCATCTTTGCTGATATAATTAGGTTTTAGCCATTCCCCTGATTTTTTTTTTTTTTTTTTTTTTTTTTTGTGATAGGATCTCATGTAACCATGCTAGCCTTGATCTTGCTATGTGGCCAAGGATAACTCTAAATGGATTCTCTTTTATCCACTTCCCAAGTACTGGAATTAAGGTGTGAGCTGTCATGTCCAGCCAACAGTTCTTTAGTGGTGAAAAACAGTGTTATACTGAACTACAATTACTTTTCAACCATTTTTCTAGCACTTACCAGACTGACTTGTATGCATAGTCAGTAGCTGTCCAGAAAATTTTTGTTAGAATAATGGTAAAAATTAGATAAATAAAGAAGATTTTTTTTTGTTTTGCTTTTGAAGTAGAATATTAAAAACCAGGCTGCTTTTGCTCACTTTATGTAGTCTAGGATGATGACTTTCATCTTCCTTCTGTCACTACCTTTCCAGGGTTGGTGTTACACACAAGTGCTAAGACAACTTGGGTGTTTAATTTTCCAATACAGGGTTTCTCTGTATTGTTTTGGAACCTGTACTGGAACTAGCTCTGTAGACCAGGCTGGCATCGAACTCACAGAGATCCACTTGCCTCTGCCTCCCAAGTGCTGGGATTAAAGGCGCTTGACACCAATGCCTGGCTTATTTTAAATAAAGTTTTCAAACAGATGGGCAAGGTGGTGAATGCCTTTAATCCTAGCACTCAGGAGGCAAAGGCAGGTGAATGTAAGTCTGAGGACAGCCCGATCTACATAGTAAGATCATCTTAAAACAAAACAAATAAGCAAATGAACAGAACAAAACAAAACCTTTTAAATGTACAGAAAATGTGTGTGTGTGTGTGTGTGTGTGTGTGTGTGTGTGTGTGTGTGTGTGTGTAGGTGTAGGCTGGAGCGATGGTTCAGGGGTTAAAAGTTCTTGCTGCTTTTACAGATAAGTCATGTTTAGTTCCCAACACCCATATTAATTAATCAGTTCTCAACTGCCTGTAACTCCAGTTCCAGGGGAACAAATCTGTTTTTGCTTCCTCAAGCACTTGCACACACTTGGTGCATATACATATACACACAGACACACAGACACACACACACACACACATACACACACTAAATAGGTAAGTAAAGTAGGAAGAATTTATAAATGCCCATATTTACTGAATTCTAGCTTTAGTTCTTGGCTAATTTTCTGTCTATCTTCATCTCCTTCACTTTGTCTCTAATGCGAATCAAATCCCAGACACTGTATCAACAAAAAGCCTTTTGGTAGATCTGTCGGCAATCACTTTTGCCCTTCTGTTACCCACTCATCAAACTGCAGCCAGAGTGCGGAGTTTATTCATATTACAGTGTCACGTCATATAACTTTGTAACAGCTTCTTCCTTTCATACTTAAAAATGAAGAGCCAGCCTGCAGCTTGATCTTCTAGGCCCATGAAACAGCCTGCACTTTAGCAAGTTACTTCTGACCTTAAACTACCTGCCTCTTCTTGTTTACTATGAATTATCCCTGGTCACTCCACTCTGACTCCAGTATTCCAGGCCTCCTTCTCAAGGCCTTTGTACTTATCACTCTCTACTTGATTCTTCTCCTTCACTGTTATGTATTTAAATCTCAGCTCTACTATCACCATGCCTCTTTTCTTTTATCCCAATAACATTCTATCCTGTTGCCCTGCTTTGCTCCTTTCAGGATATTTTTGTGAATTAAATTTCTCTCTCTCTCTCTCTCTCTCTCTCTCTCTCTCTCTCTCTCTCTCTCTCTCTCTCTCTCTTCCCCTCTCTTCCTCTCTCTCTCTGAGACAGGGTTTCTCTATGTAACCACTGTGGCTGTCTTGTCTCTTTGTAGAGACCAGGCTGGCCTTGAATTCACTGAGATCTGCCTGCCTCTACCTCCCGGTTCACTTGTGTTCTTGATTGCAGTTATCAGCATATAAATTCCATGGGAGCAAGGACTTCACCTTCAACGCCATAGGAATAACTCCAGTTAAAAAGTGTGTTTGATGACACCTGTTTTCAATTCCAGCAATTGAGAAGTAGAGGCAGATTTCTTGTTACAGGCCAACCAATGGCTACATCATGAGACCCTGTCTCAAAATTAAGTGTTAATAGAACTCCATGCATGTAGTAGATTAATGGGTCATAAAATGAAATTGTTTATGGAAAGTAAGTGGGCAAGCTAAAATCAGCTTTATAGTGCTCAATCTTGGCTCAATTTCATGCTTCAATAAAGTGTTATGAGAGTGATAAAACATTAAAATGGACACATTAAAAAAACACCTAAGAATCTACAGATGTCATTTAAAAAACTTTCATGCTGGCTAGGAGAAGCTGCTTTGATTTTGTTTTGTTTTCATCGTTAAATAAAGCACTGTTCTCTTGTGGTTTGTTGCACAAGCCCTGTCTCCTGTTACATCCGTGGTGTGCACATGCCCCTGTGTTATGGACCAGTTTCACTGACATTACGGGAACAATCTAAAACAAAAATGTCTGAGTGACAGGATGAGTGGGGTATACCACAGACAGGAAATGAAATTCACACTTCTGCCAACACAGCAACTGTCTGCTTTACTAAATGAAAAAAACAAAAAAGTTAAATAGTCTACCTACTCACTAGGCAAAACTATCAGCTTTGGGCACTTTGGTTCCCAGTAAATAAAGCAGTTATCTGTATCTGCAAAAGAAGTATTTGCTGAGTGAGAGCTTAACAGCTGAGCATACTCCAGTCATTCCTTTTGT